TCACATCCAAACAGTAAATAAAAACTGTATAAGGAAAATAACAGGCGCTTCAAATTGTACGGTCCACTAGTAAAAAGGCATAAAAACTACGCACGTAAGGGCATAAACAGCCTTTCATGCCCTTTAAGGGCGTAAATGGTATAGGACTTTTAGGTGAACTTCGAGGGGTCCTATTCAAAAGATCTTATCTGGGCGCTCCTGTTCACAGAATCTTATCTGCAACGCAAGGGGATTTCACTAAGTTTGACCATTTGGGACGGATAAGAGGGTAAGCTGAACATATCTCTACATGTACTAGATTTCTTTGATCTGTCATCTTGACCAGGGGTGTGCAACAGTAGCCCTGGGCGCTATCATCGACGCTGATATGCCTCTACAGACCTTTAGCGGTGCCCCGGGCTTCTAAATCGGCCGGCCGGCAGACGCTCGAGCCGCGCGGGCGCTGCCGAGCCTCGGCTTGTGCCGGGGCCGACCCAGGCTGGCTGCTCTATGACTCGCGGCTGTGCGGCTGGGTGACTGACGCTGAGGTGTGAACTCGCCTGGACGAAGCAAGCACATAGACCGTCTCTCTCGCTCTCAGGGCAGCTTATGGAAAAGACAAGGATGGATGCGGCCGAGCAGCGGGCCGGTATGCCTGGGATCAAACCGCCCGCTGAACGTAGGGAGCCAGCCAGCGCTGTGGGCTACGCAGGCGGCCATCCCACAGCCAACAGCCGAGCGCCCGCGCCTGGTGCCCGGGCGCCCGCAAGCAAGGCACCCGCCAGAGGCGAGTTGCACACCTCTGATCTTCAAGTCGGTGTCACTTAAGTCACAAATTATTTTGATCTGTAGCTGTCTTAATAAATGATCAAACTTGGTGAAATTCAGTTGCGTTGCAGATAAGATTCTTTGAACAGGAGCGCCCAAATAAGATCTTTTGAATAGGACCCCTCGAATTTTAATGCCCTTTCAAACACATTAACGATTCTCGCTTTCCAGGGGTATAAATCGTCTACGCCCTTTAAAAGCATAGTTTTAATGCCCTTGCTTCACCTGTGTCGACAAACCTTCACAGTAAAATGCATATAGACTAGAGCAATGACAAAAAAATAACACTTAAAGCATAAAGTCTACAAAACAAAGAGAATAACTCGGAAAAGATCAAATGCAGTGTAAAGCTGCAGTTGTATCTGTATGGCACTTGGTTGCACCAAAGCTTACGGAATTGCACATCAAACAGCATTTTGTAATAAAAAGGCCACATTTCCCGTATAAACGATTACATTACAATTCCATATTTGTACAAACAGGTGCTTCACTCTAGAACTGAGATTGATCATTTAATGTACTACACACTCCAAAATGATCACCCAACAAAAATGAGTGGGAAAGAACATCACGCATGCATAGCTTTTTCCCTAAACACTTTGTCGCCGCAACAGGAGGCGAACGCTTTCCTGGTTAGCTTCGGGATGCGCGCGTCGAATATGTGCAAACATATTATTTCTCTTCTTTGACTTGTGGAGGCAAAATGGGCAATGGACACTAGGCTCCTTGCCACACTCGTATCGGGCATGAAACGTCAAGGTCCTCTTGTGACAGTACGTCTTTCCACAGCTTGGACATTTATAGAGACCCCGGTCCCGCGCCCCTGAAAAAGAAGTCCAGAACAATAGTTAATACTCCATATTTTATAAATACATGTGGCTCAGTCCATTCCGGGGGTGTTCATACAATGCAACGTAATTATTGAACTTTTTTTATTAAATAAGTACAAAACGGAGTTGAGCAACAACAACGCAGTCTAAAGCAATGCGCTCCTTAGTCAAGAAAAACGAATAGTCACATTTTAAAACTGGATTACATTTTAAACCTCAGCTTTATATAACTAGCCCAAGAATCATCAGATCAACTAGTCAAAATATGAGATGATGCTTAGTTAGGGAATCGATTTAAAGTCTGGCATCGTATCTCATCGGACACATAACTGATGGCATCACATTAAGTCTTTATGTCATAAGTACATTGACATTTGTTACGAATAGCGTAAATCTTACCCTAAAATGATCAATAACCATACGCTCAAGGACAACTGAATAACGTTGTCGTTATCAATGCTGCGATCAGTAGGAACTACGTACAATAAATATACTAAGATACTATTCACAGATAACGTAACACAAAACAACACAAGGAATTTTTTCCCTGTGCAGGCAAATACGACGAACCTTACTTTCTTATTTGAAAACCAACTCAAAATTTTACTAAACGCTTTGCTATCCCGAGTTACTTGGAGGTAGTAGCGGGCCAATAGACAAAGGTTCAAAGCTGATTCTTATCTCGTTTTCTTATTACTCTCTTTGCTTGGACTGCGATTGCCTCAAGCCTCAAGTCTTCAAAGGGCTAAGTTTGAAAAAGACTAGAAATTAAGTGTTGTTGCTTGGCATATACCAGCACTTTTACTAGGAACATTAAGGAATCGTTAAGCAATGTTACGGGTCCTTCAAATGCTGATGCTGAAAACCCCCGTTTTAAAGTTTTAACCAGGGCATCTAGAATAAAGATAACGACGGCGATCAAGCTGAAATAATTAATTTGTTGCGCCCCACCACTAAGCCCTCAGGAGTCCACCAAACACACTATATTACTACGTACTTTTTTGTGCAAAAGCTTTGCACAAAACTGAGCATGCGCTTCGATATGCACGAATTTTATGCCCAACAAAGCACACTTTCATGCTTAGTTCCGCACAAATTCATGCATTGCAAAACGCATGCTCAATTTTGTGCGAAGCTTATGCACAAAAAAGCACACAATAATTTAGTGTGAACAAAAAGCAACAAGGTCTCAAATCCACAATAAATAATTTAAAAAGCGCATTTTGGTCTTAAAACGCCGTTATTTGCCTCGTTGGAAAAGCGTTGTGAGATCGATCAATGATGTGACATGGTAGATGAATCCGAGGACACCGAAAAACCAAACGTGGTCTAGACCGCACCACTGGTGTGGTCAAATGGGTGCCATTTTGACCGCATCAGTTGGTGTGGTCTAGACCACGTTTGGTGTTGTCTTTCCGTGCAATGACGCACCAAACGTGGTCTACACCGCACCAACTGATGCGGTCAAAATGGCACCCGTTTGACCACACCAGTTGGTGCGGGCTAGACCACGTTTGATTTTTCAGTGGATGCATAACTCCCAGCAGTCTCTAAAAGCACTCAAAGCGGAAACTGGTGTTTCACAAGGTCATCCGCGGGCATGAACCGCCCGTTCTCGGCCGGTGGCGAGTTGCTTTGCCAGTGATTAGTGGGGTCCCAGGCGTGAAGGTGTTTCATGTGGCGGTTCATGCTGCTCTTGTGCTTGCAGCGGTGTGGGCAGTACGGGCACTGCAGCTGTGGCTCTTTGCCACACTCCACGTTGATGTGCTGCTTGAGGTTGCCCTTCCAGCGGTACACCTTGCCGCAGCGCGGGCACTCGAAGCGGCCCGGAGACTTGCTGTTGCGCCTCAATGCCGCCAGCGAGGCGGGCAGCACGGGGTGCGCCGTGATGCCGTCTGGCAAGGGTGGCAGGTTGCCGAACGGCGTCAGTGCCAAGCGCCGCTGGTTCGCCCACAGAACCCGCTCCCTGTTCGCCGCTTCGTCGGCCCAGCGACCTGGAACGTGAAAAGGGGCGTCAGTGGCGGTAATCGAAAAGAAGTGCGTGCCCACGCAGAGGTGAATAAATATGTTGAAAAGCTATGCACAGAGGCAAGAACAGGTGCAGCAAGGGCAGGAAAGGTTTTTTTTATTTACACAAACAACAAATTTCAGTCGGTCCATGCTGAGGAAACAGCCTGTCACAATTATGACAGTAAAAACACAGACCCGCCACAGACAAAATCCAAAGTCTTCTTTCAAGGAAAAAGCCGGTTGACCTCTAAAGCCGCACGTCTCACGGGAACTGATTTTCACACTCACACAAACAATTTCTACAAATGGGGCACGACTTTGTGCACGACCAGGATGTGCTTCTTCAGGTGACTCTTGTGCTTAGAGCGGTGCGGGCAGTGGGGGCACGGGAAGGCGGGCTCCTTGCCGCACTCCAGCTTCAAGTGTTGCAGCAAGTTGCGCCGCCAGCGGTACACCTTGCCACAGTCTAGACAGGGGAACTGTCCCGGCGCGTTGCTCGCCTGCGCATCAGGCCAAAAGCGGCCGCCGTCTGTGACAGAATACGCCAGTCAGAATACAAGACCAGTACATTCTCTAAATACCTTTAAAAACAATGAGGCAAGATGTATTTGCTTTAAAAAAGGACAAGAGACAGTGGCGTGGCTTTTCTTTTTATTGCAATCAGAAACAAAGAAAAAACTAAATTAATGATGTTATAGAAAACATTATTATAAATAAGAGTATCTGAACGAGACAGCAATCATTCACTACTGAAACAACACTGATATCAATGACTACAATGTAAAACATTCACAGAAACATTAAAAATCACGCTCGGAAGACAGAGAGGCCGACTGGCTCTCGTGAAAATAGACTTTAAAAATACTGATGATCCCAAACATGTTCTCACTTAAAGGCCGCCGCCGCCGCATCAGCCGGAATGCAACCTCACCAAAATACTGCTCACAGAGCCAACCACTTTGCTTTTTAAACAATATACAGGTAAACTGGAAGACAGATCAGGGCAGCGTTATGTCGTGTTTGTTAATGAGGTGCCGGCGGAGGTGGCTGCGGTAGTGAGAGCGGTGCGGGCAGTGCGGGCACAGGAAGGCGGGCTCCTTCTCGCACTCCATCTTGAGGTGCTGCCGCAGGTTGCGCTTCCAGCGGTACACCTTGCCGCACTGGTGGCACGTGAACTGGCCCGGGTTGGAGGCGAGTGGCGGTGGCGGCGGGGCCATGGGCGCCAGCGCTGGCATGCCCATCGGGACGTACACGGCCCGTCGGAACCTCACTGGACAGACAAAGGACATCGGTTAGCAGGAACCACAAGACGAGCGGCGTGTCGTGGGGATGGGGGCAAGCAAGGACACTGTGTGATTCTCATGGCGTGTATTTTCTCAAAAACAGAGTGACACAGCGCTACTTGTTCGGCCAGCGGTGTTCCGGGTGCAGCCGCAGGAAGTGTCTCTTGAGGTGGCTCTTGTGCTTGAAGCGCTGCGGGCAGTAGGGGCAGTGCTGGTTAGGTTCCTTGCCGCACTCGACGCGCAGGTGGGCCATCAGGTTGCCCTTCCAGCGGTACACGTTGCCGCACTGGAAGCACTCGAACCGTCCACATTGCGTCGAGTTATGCTCGCCGCGGTCGCTCCACAGCGAGCCCTCGGTCCAGCCTGCAACAGCACACGCATCGAGTTAGCACAGAGAGCCTGACAGTCGGTTCAGCCTGCGCGGGTAGGCCACGCGCCGTGCAGGCGGTCTCGGCGGGCTGGCCTACCTCGACTCGACATTACCATCACCATTAAGGGCTAGACCATACATGATCGTATGCCATTTCGGGCCCGACATATGCCCGCCTGCACTGCAAAACGAGACATGGCCGTCCTGACTAAGGTGACACTTTATCGCGGCGGAGAAGAGCCTCTAGCGACTACAAGCTCGACAGGCGCTGACTTTACTTTAAACCGTAACTGATCGTATGCCGTTTCGGGCGGGAGCGCTGAGCCCGCGCGCCCGGGTGCTTTCGAGCACCTTGGGGTGTGAGGGGTGAGCGGGGAAATGACACAAGCGAGTTGAAACAGAAACAAACTTCATTATCAACCAGACAAACAAAGACTATCAGAGCACGGTGGACGTGTCGCCGTGCTTGCAGCGCACGTGCCGCTTCATGTGGCTCTTCTGCTTGCTGCGGTAGGGGCAGTGCGGGCACGCGAACGACGGCTCCTTGCCGCACTCGCGCTTCTGGTGCATCTTGAGGTTGCGCTCGTAGCGGTACGTGTTGCCGCAGCCGCACTGGAAGGAGCCGCGGCCCGGCTCCGCGGCCTGCAGGGCCTGCAGGGGCTGTAGCGGGACGTTCGCCTCGCGGCCCGGCCACCACGCGTACTCTGCAAAAAGGCACCACAACTTTAGCAAGCGTTTCCTCCAAGAGGCACAGAGCTGGATAATCATGTCACACAGTAAAAGGACAATCAGCGTGGTCAGGTTCAGACATTTATTCTCTCCATTTCTGCCACTATTAGTTTTAAAGGGTGTGCAACGCACACGGATCAGTGACTATACGGCAGACAATCACCAAAGAGCGACTCCTCTAGCATGGCACACAAAACGGCATTGAAAAAAAAAGCTTTAGCAATCCGGCGAAACGTGTTTGCACTAAACAAAAGTGACACGGCTTGCCTTACGCGACGTAGATGAGCTATGAACTCGATCAAACGTCGAACAAGAATTCTTAAAACATTCACAACAAGAGAGGCGCATACGTAACACAGTGTGTAAAGACATAATTTGTCCTATGGAGGGACGCAACGAATACGAATGTACCATGCTCTCGTGACAATGCTCTCACACAATAAATAACTTCATATACTTTTACATTTGGGTTAATATTGCAGGCAAAAAATTGATAGGTACAGTTTAAAGGGCAAAGCCCGCACGGTCACGAGGTCAGTTTCAAAGCCGATGCTGATGCGGCAGTCTGTATCACTGATGCGGCGGCGCGCTGGTCTCCATGCCTGGCATGGCCGGCATGGCAGGCATGGCCGGCATGGCCGGCATGGCCGGCATGGCGTACTGCTTGCGGTCCGCGTGCGGCGCGCGCACAGGGATGCCGGGCTTGCCCGCGTGCCTGCCCAGGATGTGGATGTTGAGGTTGCCCTTGTGCTTGGAGCGGTGCGGGCAGTAAGGACACTGGAACTGGGGCTCCTTGCCGCACTCCAGGCGCAGGTGCTGCGCCAGGCTGCCCTTCCAGCGGTAGGTGCGGTGGCACTGCGGGCAGGGGTACTCGCCGGGCCCGCAAGCCGAGGACGCCGACGACGACGTCCAGACCGGCTGCGGCACGCCGTACATGCCGTTCATGGGCATCATCCCCATCATGCCAGCCTGCTGCGGCTGCTGCTTCATGTGGGCCTGTAAAAAGGCGGCGGCGTAGGGGGCGTCTCGCATCACGTCTGGAAAACAGGAACAAGACACGTTAGCCTGACATGTGGCTGTGCACCGCGCGCGTGCGAAAGTTTGAGAGCGCGACAGAGAGAAAAGAGGGGTATTTGTGTCGTGAAGGGTTTGGGCAGTAACAGAGAGAAGAGAGGGGTGTTTGTATCGTGAAGGGTTTGGGCAGTAAAGGACGACAACCACGTGAGGGAACAGCACTTTACTTCACAACGCCTCAGGGTGATGCTTGCGCATGTGCGTGCGCAGGTTGCTCTTCTGCTTGGTGGCGTGGCCGCAGTGTGGGCACTGGAACTGGGGCGGCTTGCCACACTCGACGCGCAGGTGGAACAGCATGTGGTGGCGGCGCCGGTAGCCCTTCTGGCAGCGCGGGCAGTGGTGGCGGCGGTCGTCCGGCCACGCGACCCACTCTGCAAAAACAGTTCAGTCAGCAACGGTGGTGCTTGCGCATGTGCGAGGTGAGGTTGCTCTTCTGCTTGGTGGCGTGGCCGCACTCGGGGCAGCGGTAGCGGGGCTGCTGGCCGCACTCGTCGCGCAGGTGCACCAGCATGTGCTTGCGGTGCCGGTACACGTTGAGGCACTGCGGGCAGGTCACGCGCGGCTTGCTGAGCGGCTTGCTGAACGGCGAGCCCATGTGCGAGCCTGCGACAACACACAGACACGTCAAGTCCAAACAGTGGGGTATGTGTTGGTGTGCGTGTGTGTTAGGGGGTGGGAAAGGAACTTCGCTTATTAATAAATATAGACATGTATTGAGCATATAACAAGAGCTGTACAAATCTCCTAAAAGCCGTCCGGGTGGCGCTTCAGGATATGAGACTTGAGGTTGCTCTTCTGCTTGGCGCTGTATTGGCAATAGGGGCAGTGGAACTGGGGCTCCTTGCCACACTCGAAGCGAAGGTGCTTGTTCAAGCTGAACTTCCAACGGTACGTCTTGTTGCATGTGGGGCAAGGGAATATGCCCGGCATGCCGCCCCCAGCCCTCTGGCTGAAGTGTCCGTCACTGGAGATCGGATCCTGAGAACCGAACGGGCCCAAGGAACCAGGGTGCCAGGCGCCTGTGGACACAGCAGGGGTCAGTACGAACTCTGTGCTTTCAAGCCAATGTGATAACATGTCCATGTGAGGAGCGCATTTAGAGGATGACAGTATTGAAAAGAAAACAAGAGTTTCGTTCATTTATTTATTTGATAATGCGAATACAACTTTTATCACACTAATTACGCTCGGCTGCTACGCCCCTGAGCACGTGCGGGCCGTGTATATTGAGAATGTGGGTCTTAAGGTTGCTCTTCTGCTTGGAGCGGTGCGGGCACATGGGGCACTGGAACTGCGGGTCCTTGCCGCACTCCTGCCGCAGGTGCAGGTTGAGGTTGCCGCGCCAGCGGTACACCTTCCGGCACTGGGGACAGGGGTACGCCCCGGGCGAGTTCCACGAGCTGCCCGAGCCATGTGGGGCCAGCCCCGGGGCCAGTCCGGCCAGCTGCGTGAGGGGGCGGCCGTCCGGGCCCAGGATGGGCCCCATGGGCCCCATCGGCGTCATCGGCCCCCCGGGCATCGGCCCCCCGGGCATCGGGGCCCCAGGCATAGGGCCCCCGGGCAGACTAGCCACACTCAACAACGGGACGCGGCTGCCGCCCTCCGACAGAGAGCGTAACCAGGCCTTGGCGTCGTCCGCAAGCCCTTGCCCCTGTGGCCCCCCTGGCCGTGCGCCGAGCCCTCCCTGGAGGCCCCCTTGCCGCGGCTCGGCGGGGCCTGGAAGAAAAATCGGCAGTGAGCACCAGAGTAGGACAAGGAGCAAAGTTCTCATGCGGTGTGGAGGTATGTGAGTTGTGAGTGTGCTGGTCATCAGCTTTCTATGCCCCGGCGCATTCAATGCAAATCGTTTTACACTGCGTATATGTAATAACGGCCTTACAACGAGTATTGTACAAAGTACAGCCAGGGATGGACTGCTGCACTCGTCATGCTGGTTCCATTGCATTTCTTACAACAACTGTCGTACTTTGAAAAACAAATCCATTCCTGATAAAATAATTTACCAGGAATCCTTGCAGGTATGTTGTGGATTTTCCTAGCAGTGAATGGTTGACACTTGCGAGGTAACAATTAATGCATGTTGCTCGTACTGAATTTGAGGCAGAAACAATTGCCCACAAAAACTATGCATAAAATAACGGCCTGTGTTTGCGTCCTGTTAAAGATTACACGCTATGTTGCCCTTTATATAAATCTAAACTTCGTGTTGGTTTTATTTTCAAGCATTTTTAAAAGAAAGAACGACTATCATAAGAATTCCACCTCCACTTTTATTTCTTCTCTCATTTGGAAATATACATAATTTGCACCTATGGCAAGGTAACAAAAAAAGATCACATGAAATGTAAGTACAAACTTACAAAAAGAAACCTGTCATCAAAACCCATTTCCAAGAAGATGTCCACAGATGTGTGGTAAAATAAGTACTTTAAAAAATTGGTGAAAAAGAAAACCTCTGACTGTTGTTTTCTTAACTCCGGAACTTTAAAAAAAAAAAAAACAATTTAATTTCATAGAATTTCATTGTTTCAGATTGTTACAAGAAGTTCCAACTTTTTTGTGTAACTTAATGAAAACTTTTAACTTCTTTGAAATAATAGCGAGGTTTTGGCAAGGCAACCCACAAATGGATAAGATGCGAAAGACAAAGAAAATAACTTAATAGTAACTTATGAAAATGAAAGCCAAAACAGTAAATGAAAAGTTACCGCAATATGACTCATCTCTTACCAAACACAATGCAAAAGAGTAAACATTACGATGGGTTACACCAAAATTTTATAAAGAGGAATTCACTTAAATAAGTTGCACAGATAGATTATCACTTGAAGTAAGGATGGATTGCATACAACCCATTCCACACAAATAATATGCCCAACATCCCAAGGAAACACAAATCCTGACATGAACAAAATAAAGAATAAAACAAAACAGAAAACAAGTGCAAACATACAGGGAGAAGACAATGCATGCAAAACCAAAAGTGGCACCTACATTGAAAAAGATCTATCTATCCTGAAAAAAAAAAAACATGCAAATGTAGAGTTGCCTCTGAATAGTCCTAACTCTATCAGGTGAACCATGGGTTAACTGTCTCATTTTTACCAGGCTACTTATCCTCATGATACATCCAAAATAATAAATTTGTAAAATACATGAGTAAGATCGGCTTCAATCAAATTACACTCTTCCCATGACATAGAAAAACAAAAAAGCTCCCTCCTTCCATAAAAAAGAAAAATGTATAACTAGGAAACCGTTTCCGTTGCTCACACTTAAAGCGAAAATAAAGAGAAGAAAGCATGGGAAATTTGGGTGCAGGATCAAGTTGTTGCTCTTGATGCCTGTCTGTACAGGTTTGTGAAGCAGGGGAGAGGGACACATAAAAAGGGTTGCTTGGGCCCTTGCAAAAATTAATTGGTTTAAAAACTACCTACATTTAAGCAAATACTGAAAATTTATTCAAAATAGACTTGCATCTTTGCCTTGCTGTAAGGTGAAAATGTTGTTAGAATACCAGATTTTATGGCATACTTTAGTTATTTCTCAAAAGAACTATTGGTTTAACATTAGTTACAAGAAGAAAAAAACAACTCAAATTTTCTAGCAAGTTTGATTGATTGTCTAAAACTAATATGTGTGGGTCTGAGGTTGGCACGTACGGAATGGGCAAAATCTGTGCTTGAACTTAACCCCCGGCTTGTACGCCTGATAGGCTGTCTTACACACAAAACTGAGTTTGAAGGAATGAACAATGGACCAACAAACGAGGAACCACCACCACACATGCAGCTGTTCAGTTAATACAAATAAATTACAAATTAATGTTAAGAGAAGAGGTCAGAAACATCTTAACACTACAAAAAAATATTTTCACAAGAAAAAAAAAACCTTTTTGTGAGAAACTTTTGAGAGAACTATGAAACTTTGTTCCTGATGAGCTATCTAATTATTGACAGGCCTCTAAGGCATTACACTCCCGGTAACTAGGTTTTTTTTTAATTTAGTTTTTCTATGCTGGTACGGAGATATGACAAGCTAAAGCAGAGCTAACAAAGTGTCAGTCAGTAATTTTATTTCTTGTCTTCTTCCTCACTCTGGCATGCTTCCCTCCCCTAGGTCCTACAATAGCTTCCCTTTCTGAACGAACACACCCACCTAGCAATGTGTCACTGTTGCCCACACTATAAGTTGGATCGTGCCTCAGAGCCGGCCAACAGTCTGCAGCCTGGTCTCGTTCTGTGCGGTTCTCTCCAATAAACCAGTCAACCTCTACTCACTATCGTCCTTTACCCATCCTTCTCATTTATAGTACCCTACACTACACTTGTATGAACACTTCATGAGTTGTTATTCGTAGCATGTTGGGAAATCAAAAGATGTGTTTGAAAGCTAAAGAGACTTTTTTTGAATATTTTCATTAATTACAAGAAGAATTTTTCTAAAAACTTAAAACATATTAATAAATAAATTGATATTGATGAATAGTTCTATCTGCATTGAAATGATATAATAAACATTTACAGAAATCAGGCAGAACAGCAAAAACTGAGTCTCTTTAGTTTTCTAACAGTAAGGGACTCACCAGACAGCAACTGATGAACCAGCCACTGCAGACATCTTCAATACTCACTGTTGAAAAAAGGAAACAGTAAATTAGTTACAAAAATTTACATTTCACATCAGGGCTTTTTACAAAAAAAGGAGTAATTGGGAATTGATATTTACCTTTGAGACGGTTGGTGGTGACATTTGACGTGGTGATAAGGTAATCCATTTTTGCCGCTTGAGGCACTTCACTTCACTTCACTTCACCTCGCATCACTACATCACTTCACTTCACTTCAAGGCACTTCACGTCAGTTTGAATAACATTACTTCGTTTCACTTCACTCCACTTCACTTATTATTTGGAAGACACAACTTATGTCTTGAGATTACTTCTTGTAAAAAACAAGAAAGCTGAGTCTTTTTTCAAAACAGAACTGGCTGTTGAACATAATAATCACAGATTTCACTTGGTTGTTCTCGACTATGCACTATTTTATGGAGTAAGTATCTTTGACACCATAAGGCACTCTTAAGTTGCAGATATCACATCTACTGAGATGAATGTTTGGATGGAAGCCACACTCCTGGAAAACATCTGTGGTCAGGAGTGACCATGTGTTGATGTGTAACACACAACTATAAACATCAAACATGAGAAACACAAAAACTGCAAAGTATCTTAGAGGCCTAAAATTGCAAACAAATGATTAAAATTACTACAAACTCAGACTAGTTTAAAACAGAATGATTCTAGATGTTAAAAAAACAATCATGTACTGAAGTGTCAACCCACGACAGCTTTTAAACAAGTTGTGTAGAGGGAAGACAGATCTCCAACATTTAAAAGACGTCTATAAGCACTATCTTTTGCCTGAGGTCGAGCGTTTTTATGTAAGAGCTGTCTAAGAAAACTGGGCAACTAAGCGGAATGACATTAGTACCATTTCATAACATAAACCAGCTGAATCAGAAATATGATGTGCAGTTTTTCATCAACACAAGAGAGTAACTGAAAAGGGCAGTAAATAAAACTGAAGTTATGAAATAAATAACGGTTACGGTAATAACGGTAAATGATATTACAGAGTTTTCATTGAGTTTTGTCTAACCGTCAGGTTAAGTGACATAGGTTAAGTCAGAGTATATCACTGAACTTAAATGAATATTTGAGACAGCACCAACAGATCACACAGCAAGCATGATGTGGGTTGCCGATATCTCTAACTGAAAACTACGCTTGGCCGCGCAACTACAGGTAAATAGACAATTTTAGTGTCAAACCTAATACTAGAACTAAAACTGTCGCACTTCTAACTTTTGGTTCTTGTACAACATTCAACGTTTGATATCAACAGCAGGTGTTACATCTATTATTACTTTTACCTTGATTTTGTGTTTTTAAAATCAAAATGCATCAAACATTAAGCATGTGTTTACAGACATAAACATAAACAAGAAGCCTATTTCAAGTTATGGATGGCAGAAATGTCTACAGGGGTACGTTCGTGGGAAGTCTTAAGGTTCCAGCAGTAACCTCCTGGTCTGCTCCGGTCTGCCGAGTCCACTCTCCTCTCTGGATAATATGAGATGATTGACTTCTTTACTAACTGCTCTAGAAAAATGATTTTTTTTAGACATTGAAATTTGTGTATCAGTGCATTAGTTATCGCTATTTTTAGGACCTTAGTGGAGGGTGCGTTCCAGGACTCACCTTGCGAGGCCTGCTGTAAGAGGACTGTTTATACCGAGAGGCGCGAAATTCGAATATTTGCACAGCTCTTTCTGATACGCAGTGCTGCAAGGCACATCAAATGTCGTCAACATTTCTTTTTCAATTGAACAATAAAAACGAGTAAAACAGTGGGTGGAATGTCCTGTTTTCTGATGAAAATGACTACCCCTCACGTGGATTCCACAGCTTATGTGTCGTTTGAGCCACGTTCGGTGCCGAGACAAGTCCCAAACCGGAGTCGGTTTAACTTCACCCCAGGACTCTAATTCGCTGTACCCGCCACTGGTCCTTGAAGGCGGAGAGATTTTCTATCCTGTGGCCTAGGTGTCGGAAAACGTGGCACACCCTTCTGCCCCAAAACTACGCATGCTTTATCCCAGAGAAGGATTTTAAGATGGCTCTATTATGGTCATTCTCACGTTGACGTATTGCACAGGTGCCTGACAGTCACGGTCTCTGACAGCATTTTGTACGTCGTGCTGACAATGCTTGTAAAAACCTGCCAGAACCAAATAAATTACTTTGAAATAAATGATGCTAATCACTTTATAATGAAAGGAAAACTCCACATGAAGAGAGACATAAATATCAAACAGAATCCCTAAGAAGTCAGCAAGCCGAGCTGACTCAAAACGCGGTAACGTATCGCGCCATACACAGATATTTTCCTCTTCCTTTCCGTGTGGCAGTGGCATCATAGTTAACTCGCGTCCTGGGTACGGCAGATACATTTTCACCCTCTACAGAACCTAAACCTAAGGCTAGAGAAACATTTATGGAATAAAACACAAAACGTGACCGAATTCTTCAATTTTCAGAAATTTCTCGTTCGGAACAATCGTTACTTCACTAAGTATTCGTTCTGCCGTAAATTCGTCGCACTCGGACAATCGAAGCGTCCAGCGGACCAATGGGAAGGCAGGGTGCGTTGAGGCTCAAGCGCGTTGGTGCAGTTGTGAGGAGCCAGCGAAGAGAGGAAGATGTCTAGGTGTTGCCCTTAAAAGTTCCCTCGAAATTTACCTTTCATTCAAAACAGTCATTCTACGTAAGTTTTCCTCTTTATTCTAAACTCAGATTTGTGATTTAGTTAGTTTTTTTCCGAAACCCTACGTGAATTCCTACTTCGTGTAGTTGCGGTGAAAATGGAGCCCCACCCATCGACAAGCCAGAGCGATGAGGAGACGCCATTGCGCCTCGTTTGGCGTGCTGTCTAACCGAATAATGTTTTCTGTTGCAGAAATCTGTGATAATGGCAGACCAACAGTTCTGTCTAAGATGGAACAACCACCAAAGCACACTGATCTCGGTGTTCGACTCTCTTCTGGAGAGGGGTGCTATGGTGGATTGCACTCTAGCAGCAGAGGGCCAATGTCTTCAAGCCCACAAAGTTGTCCTCTCAGCATGCAGTCCATATTTAGAGGTAAATATATGTTTTGATCATTATTACTTGTTGCCAGTTTATTAAATTATGGTGTGATTCCTTGAAAACTAACGCGTTTTTTTTGTTTTGTTTTTGCTGTTGCAGACGCTGCTGAGTCAGCATTACGACAAGCATCCTATTCTCCTACTCAAGGATGTGAAATTCTACGAGCTTCAAGCCATGATGGACTACATGTACCGTGGGGAAGTGAATGTGGCTCAAGACAAATTAGGAATGTTTTTGAAAGCAGCTGAATCTCTTCAAATTAAGGGATTGTCAGACAGTGGAGGCAATGAACCACCTGACACGGGAGGGGGGACAAGTAGTAAACGGACTAGTAAAGCTGTACCAGTGACAAATATTCCACGTTCTGGTGGTGGATTAACTGTGGAAAGGCGAAGGCCACAACCTCAAGTTTCGCAAGTGGTAGACATTCCTTCAGATAGTGGTTCCCGTGATGGTAGTGAATCCCCTTCCTTAAGAAGAAAACGACGGCGAAGAACATCTGGTGATGAAAATACTGCTGAGGGCGACTCTTCTAACACTGGGGACGTGTCACGCACCCAGCCCTCTTCAGCCCCCCTTAGTTCAGACCAAGTGCCAATGAATGGTTCTGCTGATAGTAATGCCTTAGGAATTCTTTCATCCCTTATGGATGGAACTGTTGAGACTGATAATAGTGTACAAGAACCCGGACCGTCATTAGGAAGTTCAAGTCAGACCCAGCCTTCACAACGGATACGAGAAAAAACGGAACCCACCACTGGCCAAATGATTCAGCCTAAATCTGAGTACCTTGAAACTGAAGAAAATATTGAGGATCTTACTCTTGATGACGATGGCATGGACAGTAACCAGGACATGGATGCAGGACCTTCTCAACGGCAAGGTAGGACTACTTTATTATTTTTATCAATCTTATATATGTATGTATGTACAATTTTATTGATTTTTTTTATTTCTTTATTTTTTAGGATATCAATGGCATATGGGTGACCAAGGAGCGGATGAAGTTTTCATGGCAGCACAAGAAGCAGTTGGTGCTAACAGAGATGCACAAGGTAAGCAAGAAGTTACATGTAAGACAAGCCTTTCATCATTGACTTAGTTTGCTCAGAAGCTGTCTTATTTGCTTGGAGTCCAGTTGCACACATTTTTGATATTCTGAAGTAATTTTGGTCTTTCAATATTCTGATGTGTTTTTGGGTTTTCAATATTCCAAAATACTTTTGAATTTTCAATGTTCTTAAGTATTTTTGTATTTTTAATGTTCTTATCTATATTTGGGGCATGATTGGTGTTTGAAATTATGAACCAATTAACTTATTTACTTTTGTCTGTTTAATATAATTGTCATTTATGGGACAGCTTTCGTGTGTCAATCTAACTCAATGATGCATCATGAACATGGCAGATAAGGTTTATTTTGTGTGTGTGTTGCCTATTTTCCTCTCTGTTGACACTTTGTTTGAAGTTATTGAGTAAAGGTGGAGTTCAAAGTCAAATTAGCTTCCATATTTGGCCTCCAACCATCCAACCTTAATTTTTACTTTCCAATTATCCGCAAATATCTTACCTCCAACCATCCCACTTTAAAGTTTTACTCTCCAAAATGGGAACTTATCTGCTGTGTTCTTGGTTATATGATAAGTTTGAAGTACACTAGTGTTAAGATTGAAATTAAAATGAAACTATTGAATTTAATCTGGTGGCACATTGGGGTGAGTAAAAGAGAGTGCTGATGTACAATAGCTGTATTTTGCTCTCTGATCATAATACTGCTATTTGTCTTTCTTGAACTACCTGTTTGGTCTAATATGAGACTTAACAAGTGCTCAAGAAATTTTTACCTTTATGTTAATATTTGAAAGAAGATCAGCTTTAGTGCTGTTGAAGAATCCTACAAGGACATGCAGTTTTACCATCAAAGAAAGGTACGAGTATGATATTTCAATACCTTATTTTTTTTATTTTTTTTTTAATGTTTCAATGGTTTGTTGTTGCTGTTGTTTTTCTCCTTTCCCTTCCCTACCCCACACTACCATAACACCACAACACACTTAAAAGATGCATCAAATTTTAGTATTTCTTGAGATCTTAATCTTTGATACAGATGAAGTTTCACTTTATTCATCTGGAACAGAAGCTAACCATTTAAGTCTATTTATTGGAAAGTAAGTGGACACTACCAAGTCTTAATACACCACCTGAGTAGCTCTCACTTGCTTCTCAGTATTGCATCTGATTACTCAGCTCTGACAAGCAAGCATAGTCGAAGTTCTCATTCAGAATTTTTTTGATTCCAATCCGCATAAGGCTGGATTTGTAAATTTAAACAATGTGTTTAAACTTAACCGGATAAGACAAAACAGGACACTGCAAGGATCAGTGTTAAAACCTAACCGGGACTACAGGACATTGCGACAATCAATAGTTTTCATTTCTGGGGTTCAGTCGAATGCATAGGTGCCACTATGGAGACAAGTCTTCATGGTGCCACCAGCAAAAGTCATTGCCCATTAAGGAACTTGTTCAAGAAGAAGTAAAACTCAGTTAACACAAACAGTTGAGCTCAAAACTGCAGATAGAACACAATGCCCTGAAAGTGGCCAGAGAAATTAAGTTTTCGACAAGGGCACCTCAGACACTCGTGCAGGAAAGCGGTGTCAAAGTGAGGTTAGTTGCTCGCTGGAGTTTTAATAGTATCCACCACGGGCGGAGTGTGAGGTGAACTGCTCTTTCGAATGCGTTTGGTCTAAAGCCTACTACCAGGAAAGATGCCCAAAGCCAAAAGCGGCAGACTCGGAGTTCTTGTGTTGAGGTGACCTTAAATCGCATTCGAAGGCGAAGCAGCTCAGCGCGCTCTGTCTGCTTGTGACGTATCGAGTGCTGGCGAATAACCTCAATTCAACCACTCTCCTGGACAAATGTGTCACTAGTCTTGTGAATTTTGTCTTTCACTTAACCTAGTTTTTTTTACTGTTTTATGGCTCAAATTCAAGTGGCGCCGATAACGTCACACCTGACGGTGTCGCGCTCTGACACCTTTTGGCCATTGCCCAAATTAAATATTTAGGCACTATTTCTGTGAAGTTTTGGGCTCAACCAAGGGTTGGGCCGATCTGACTGTGTCAAGGTCTAACGAGCTTCCTTGTCAAAAGCTGAACCATCATTGATCTGGGCGCATAACTCGAGGCTGGACCATGACCATTCATTTTGTTACTGAATGGGCACACCATCACTCCTAGCTGCTGTCCGTTGAGCTCCTTTGCGACACTAAATGTTTGTTACACCCTAAAACGAGGTGTACAACAGGCAAGCTGCAGGCATAAAAATTTGATCAATTCTGCTCCTAATCTAATCAAACGCTTTAAAGGCCAAGTCGTCAATACATAGCAAATTAATCCTAATTAAGAAAGACAGCATGCCACTCTTTATTCAATAGCTGTGAATTTTAACGTTATTAAGTGAAAAAGTGACTACTTAACATTTTTTTATAAATATTTGCATCAGATGTCTCAATTTTTGGGTAAAAGTTTCTTTTCTGCTGCATGAACTCAAACATTAAGAGTAGGGCCCCACCTCATTTTAGTTTCTGAGTTGTGAGTGTTTACGCCAACTTTTGGTCGTTTCGCTCTCAAATTCTCCTCACAACAAAGGGTGAGACCCTCCCTTCAAACTCGGGCCCTTTGCCTAATATCGCCCTTAGATTTCCTGTAGAAAAACTACAATCAATACAATACGGGGCAAAATTATCTCTCAAACTTAAAGTAAATTTTAAAAAAGGACCCCAGTAAAAAAGCCATTGCAGCCTCTTCTGGACTCAAATTATCTAATTTGCCAAGGCTATCTTTTCCCCATATTTGTGACGGTTCAGTTTCCAGAATCTGAGGTTTGGGTACCGTTTCTTTTGTTGTGAGGAGAATTTGGGAGAAGCAACTTCAGTTTACGTAAAGCTCCAATGCTCCAACTCAGGAAAGAATAGGAGTCGGGGCCCCAACTTTGTGAAAAATTTACCTACATGTGGTTTGACTTTTACCACAAAATGAACTTCCGGTGACAAATATTTTTACGACATGCTAATTTTACTATCCCTAAAGAAAAAAATGGTTGATATGTCCTTAGGAAGCAATAATTTGTTGGAGCTCAAACTGGAGACTAACCCAACTTAAGTACCCAGGGGGAAAAACTAGGAGCTTGTATTAAAGCTAGAGACAAACCCATAAGTTATTTAAAAAATTAGGGTAGAAAAAATATGCATCCTCCTTACAATCTGACGACTTAGCAAGGAGTATGTAAAATTTCCTGCCCTGACGTTTTCCAAGGCGTATCGATTGGATAGTTTATGCCTCTAGCTTTAATACAAGCCCTTAGGTTTTACCCTTTAGAGCTGAACAATGATAGGGCCCGCCTCAGGCCCTACTCCCTAAATTTTAAAGGGCTTGAAGGCCTTTATGACTGCAACTACTCCCCTCCTCGCCATCCAGCAAACGAGCCGAACGGAAAGTTAGAGTGTGAGAAGTTCCACTGCGTTGACCGATCACACGCGGTCTAAGGGTTGTCCGCTCGTGCCTCACAAGAGAAATTCTGCCGTCTGAGTTAGGTCAAAACAGCGTCTTACGGTCTTTGACATCATGTTCTCCAAACCATACCTATTCAAAAAATTTTAGAATTGTGTCTAAGTATTTACTGAGTTAAACATGTGTCACCAAGTTGTGTCTTACCAAACACAATACTCGTCTTTACCTTTGTATGGATATAGAAAGTAGGTAAAGAACGAGTAAAAATGGTTGATATGTCCTTAGGAAGCAATAATTTGTTGGAGCTCAAACTGGAGACTAACCCAACTTAAGTACCCAGGGGGAAAAACTAGGAGCTTGTATTAAAGCTAGAGACAAACCCATAAGTTATTTTAAAAAATTAGGGTAGAAAAAATTTGCATCCTCCTTACAAAGTCTGACGACTTAGCAAGGAGTATGTAAATATTTCCTGCCCTGACGTTTTCCAACAACGTATCGATTGGATAGTTTATGCCTCTAGCTTTAATACAAGCCCTTAGGTTTTACCCTTTAGAGCTGAACAATGATAGGGCCCGCCTCAGGCCTCTACTCCCTAAATTTTAAAGGGCCTGAAGGGCCTTTATGACTCCACTACTCCCCTCCTCGCCATCCAGCAAACGAGCCGAACGAGAGTTAGAGTGTGAGAAGTTCCACTGCGTTGACCGATCACAGCGCGTCTAAGGGTTGTCCGCTCGTGCCTCACAAGAGAAATTCTGCCGTCTGAGCTTATCAAACAGCGTCTTACGGTCATGTGACATCATGTTCCGCATTCACATAGTGCGAACAGTCTCAAGAAGCGCTTTGATTGGTCCCAGCACTAAAATTTCTCATGTTCAGAACGATTGGTGGCTCGCGGTCTCTACGCGAAACACGGCTCTGGTAGTAAGCCGAACGGTCATAAAAAGTGCTGTTGTACAGCGCGCTACTGGTTTCAACCCTAGAGCAAAAAGAATGCTTAGAGTTCCGGCCGGCCTATCTCCCTATGCTTTCCGAGCGTTGGCTCTATTGCCCCCTCCGGCGGCATCCGAAACTACTCGATCCGGAGAGGGCGGGGCGGAATGAAGCGGGGAGGGCAGGGGGCCAGAGTGCCTCGGGAGTCGTCGACTCATGGCATAGTGCCGGCTCGGTTGCTCGGCTCTAACCTCCCGCCAGGCAGCCGAGCACATGGCTGCTCCGGGCCCCCACCCCTCCTCGCTTCATCCCACCAGGCAGTCTCCGAATCGAACACTTTACGGATGCCGCCAAGGGGGCAATGAAAACATGGCTTTTTACAACCGCTGGGACTCTAACCAATACTTTCTCTATGGTTTCAAGACTTCGATTAGCTCATCTTTTCCTCCTTCAAAAAACGAGATCGCATGAACTACGATTTGCTTAGGAATCCGACCTCCCCGACCAAGTTCGGCGCCGTCCCGCACACCCAGATGGCTTTGCCATTTGGCTGTAAAGTCGCACTCGGTCCGGTTGAGTGGTCGCGTTCTTGAGCGAGTGGTAGCACATGTCAACCAATCACTCGTTGCACAGTAACAAGATGATCAAATCGATAGGAACCAGAGGTGCATAGAGCGGCAGCAGTTGCTGGCTATTAAATAAGCGACTGAGTTACGTTGAAATGTGTGGACCTTACCTCTGTCTTAAGACACCGTTGGGTACTCACAGACCCACTCATCTGTCTTCGTGGAACAAAAAGTTAAGGATCCACAAGAAAACTACCATTTCTAAACATTGAACCAAATAAAAGAATCTCACAACAAAATTCAAAAACTAGAATTCTGTAAAATTTAAAACCCCATTTTGTAAAGCACGTGTGTAAAAAGTTCAAAGAATTATTTCCACCCTGCCTTTTTATCTTCCATGCTCATCCTACCTTGCCTCCAATTCCTGCGCCGACGAAAGGATAGGGAAAGGGATAACATTTCTTTATTGCAACTCTTCACATGATGGTCAATGTACAGGGCGCGGTAACTTAGCATTTATTGAGTTTCAGGGTACCTGTCTCTCGTTAACAGTTAAAGGAACAAAGCTCTGCACAGGATAACTTAAATTTAGAATTACAGATTGAATATAGGTTATCTTCTGCAGAACTCCTTCATCCCTAGCAGTTAACGAGATAAGATTTCAAATATCGCAAAAAAATGTTACGTTACCACGCTTAGTTGATGAATTGATCTTGTCAGAAACCATAAAAAAAGAGCTCTTTTAACATCAAGTGCCTATGTCTTATAAGCAACCTCCGACGTTATAAAACAAAATGAAAAAAAACTATAGCTCTTTTTTTTTTTTTGAAATATTGCCACAAAAATAAGAAATATACTATTTGATAACTGCTAATTTTTCAGTTCTTCTTGAAACAGAACTGACCAAATGTAAAACCATTAAAAAGAAGAAAAAAAGTGGCAAATCATTTTGAATAACATCGTCTGTACTTTCAAAACCAGACTGCCGTTATTAGAGTCAAAAGTGGGAAAAAAAAGATGATTCCAACAGGTGTTTCGGCACCTAGTGGCATCAAATCCTGCCTCAAGGGCAGTAAATCAATATTTCAAAATGACCACAACATATTTACCAAGTTTTGAGTCATAATTGAAATGATTAACCAAATCACTCGAAACCACAAGTTTTGTGATTGGTATGACAGACGACCAAAAGCCTATCTACACCAACCACATCTTTCTTTAGTCGAATCATCACCCTTGACGATGATGGTGTCAAGATAACAAATTCTTGATTTTTCATTCAACAAAATAAGGTAAACTGCTCTGAATAACTTTTGCCTCAAGGGGGCTTTGAATGCAAACTAAAGGATATTTGAACAGTGGCTAGCAAACAGGAAGTTGTGCACTGAATGTAAACCTGAGCAAACAGTTTGTTTAAGAATTCTGAAGCATCCTTGGAATAACATCAATTTGAGATAAGCTGTAGTCAGGGGTTACAGCATGTCTCAAAGTGAAAACCAAGTCACCCCAAAATTCTAAAACACTGAATAGAACAGAGCATTCATAACAAAAGTTGCTGAAAGCAGCCACATCAAAGTTAAGTCATGCTAGCACCAAAAGATGCTTTAGAAGAAAAAAAAAAGTTTCAGCCTGGCAGCCGAAAAAAGTACTTCGTCTCAAGAACCAGATTCTTCCTCAAGAACTCAAGATGCATGTCATTCAAAGATGAGAGATGACAAACACAGAGAGGTATAGTCAGGGTTATAACTTTCCATGTAAGGCATTCCCAAATTTAAAAGACACCGCATGAGTTCAATAGGTATGAAACTGGCTGGAAGAGACAAAGCTTTATTGATAGAAAAACAGGTAGAGTAGGCTCGGTGTTGTTGCATTGTTCCATCATCTCAATAACATAGAATAATTTCCAACCTTACCTTGTATCAAAGTCTATGTTCGTCTCAAATAATTGCAACTATAGCCAGCTCTCAGAAACTTAGTCTAAGGTACTTCAACTTAGCCTAAACAGTAAAATCAAGGGTTCAAATTATGAACTGTATTAAAAATAAGAAGCAAATATTCTTCATTGAAAGACCAGAACCCTCGATTTTTAAGTGGCAGAGATATTACAAGGGAATAAAACTATAAATAGTCCAAAAGTCAAGTCAACCTTGTAATAGCTCCAACAAGCCACAGATCATAACAAGTGCTCATCAAGCAACAAAATGTCAAAGTAAATTAACTTCAAACTTATATTAATGATTGAATATTAATTTAGTTAACTCATTGTCCATTTAAATTGAAATTAAAACCAAAAATTATGATCAAAATAGACACTTTATATTTCATGAGCAATTGTTATGATTAACTTATATCCGAGAAGGTCAAAAGTGTTTACCTTGTGCATCTCTGTTAGCACCAACTGCTTCTTGTGCTGCCATGAAAACTTCATCTGCTGATTGATCGCCCATGTGCCATTGATATCCTACAAGAGAAACAATGTGTGAGATCAGGAAATCAAACACAGAGTTCAAGAAATCAAACGCAATACATAATCTAGACTAAACACATACCTGCGCCTTGCCGCTGTGAAGGTCCTGCATCCATGCCAGTATCGTCATCATCATCAAGAGTCAGGTCTTCGACATTTTCTTCAGTTTCCAGGTACTCTGCTTTTGGTTGAATCATCTCGGCTGAGGTAGGTTCCAGTTTTTCTCGTATCCGTTGTGAAGGCTGGGTCTGACTTGAACTTCCTAATGACGGTCCGGGTTCTTGTACACTATTATCAGTCTCAACAGTTCCATCCATAAGGGATGAAAGAATTCCTAAGGCATTACTATCAGCAGAACCATTCATTGGCACTTGGTCTGAACTAAGGGGGGCTGAAGAGGGCTGGGTGCGTGACACGTCCCCAGTGTTAGAAGAGTCGCCCTCAGCAGTATTTTCATCACCAGATGTTCTTCGCCGTCGTTTTCTTCTTAAGGAAGGGGATTCACTACCATCACGGGAACCACTATCTGAAGGAATGTCTACCACTTGCGAAACTTGAGGTTGTGGCCTTCGCCTTTCCACAGTTAATCCACCACCAGAACGTGGAATATTTGTCACTGGTACAGCTTTACTAGTCCGTTTACTACTTGTCCCCCCTCCCGTGTCAGGTGGTTCATTGCCTCCACTGTCTGACAATCCCTTAATTTGAAGAGATTCAGCTGCTTTCAAAAACATTCCTAATTTGTCTTGAGCCACATTCACTTCCCCACGGTACATGTAGTCCATCATGGCTTGAAGCTCGTAGAATTTCACATCCTTGAGTAGGAGAATAGGATGCTTGTCGTAATGCTGACTCAGCAGCGTCTGCAACAGCAAAAACAAAACAAAAAAAACGCGTTAGTTTTCAAGGAATCACACCATAATTTAATAAACTGGCAACAAGTAATAATGATCAAAACATATATTTACCTCTAAATATGGACTGCATGCTGAGAGGACAACTTTGTGGGCTTGAAGACATTGGCCCTCTGCTGCTAGAGTGCAATCCACCATAGCACCCCTCTCCAGAAGAGAGTCGAACACCGAGATCAGTGTGCTTTGGTGGTTGTTCCATCTTAGACAGAACTGTTGGTCTGCCATTATCACAGATTTCTGCAACAGAAAATTCCGAACATATGTTAAGAAAACTAGCAATTGATTTTGAAGATATTAAATTCCTAAGACAAGGAAAGGCTGCTTGGGGTTCTCTCTCGGGATGCTGGGTGAGCAAACAAGATGGCGTCGGTTGGTCGCCGGTGCCACACCCAAGCCAAGCCAATGTTCACCCTCCCAAACTAACTACTTCAACGGCCCGGATCCCAAGCGCTGGAGACATTCTTCCAACCTTTCTTTCGTTAAGATCCAGAAACTTGGAAATTTATGAGTTTATCCTGTGGCTAGTGCCGAGTGCTCCAGATGACAATTAGGCGAAAAAAAAATGTCGTTCAAAAAAGTCCCTAATACACTTTTTAAGGTAAAGCGCTCCAAAACCGTTTCGAATGTGAACAGATCCAAAATTTAGAGACTTCGTTATGGGAAGCCGAGGAAGGGTCGGTCGGCACCTCCCACCGGTAGATGGTCTTTGGGACCCACAGAACTACATTAGAGGAAGATCTTTCCACAAAATAAGAGGGGACGCAATGTTCCCAATTCCACTCGGATCGGCCAGAACAACCGAAACGTTAAATTTGGTAGTTCACTCACCTATCTTACTTTTGAAGCTAACACACACGTCCTCCTTCCATGAGAGCAATTTGGGTTCTGAAGCTGCCGACGCCGACGCCAAGCCGCCCGGCCGCCGTCGTAGAAAAATCGGCGTCCAAAAGCTGCTGCCGGATTGGCTGCTCCAGAAGCAGAGGGGGGAGCATCGCTGTCATTGGTTGAACTGTTTGTCAGTGGGCAGCGTCTGTTTGGAACATTTCAGAATCTTTCTTAGCGCTCTAATGGAATAGTAAATCAAGAAAGTTCCTAATTTGTATTTATTGCACCACTTCCAGATATGAACTATTATTGCTATGCCGTTACAGCTCATTACGAGCACACACTTGCACGCTGTGTACTGGCCGTATAGTTTCCGACCCGCTAGCCAACATGGCAGACAGTTTCTGGCGGCTGTCTTGAAACGTGCGCTTCCCTGTTCATAAATTGAAATTTAGTCAGAATTATACATCCTCACACATATCCTAGCCTTGAAGTGTATAACCCTCATTGCGGGTCATCCTAGCACAATTTGGGTCTCCCTCCCTCTTGTTCAGAAACACGTCTTGACGAACGGGAGCGAAGACCGTCAGTCCCAACAGACGTACGTACATTGTTTCATTGACCGTGGTGTTAGCGTTTCATGGACACTGGGCGCTGATGAGCTATGCGCCCTTGTGACAGTGCCTTACAATTCGTAGGAACCAGGAGCGTATGGGAAAGTGTGAATGGGGGTAGACACTTCGAGAGACAAACCCTCCTGTGGCTGTTGCTGTTGGCCGGCGCCGAGTAGGGGCGGCCGCCGGGTTGTGTTAGCGGAACGTTCATGACCTTTAGGTAAAGAAGTAAATAGCTTTCTTTCGGCTCTTTGCTTCTAAATTAATGAGGAGGGGACACAAAAAGAGATCAGGACTTTGGCGATGGCAAAACAATTTATTTATTGGAATGAAATAACTTTTCATTGCACATGTTCTTCTAATCTTACATATCATACATAATACATTTTTACAGTGGCCTGACTTAGGACTTGACTACACTTATTCAATGTACAATGATGACAAAATTTAAATCTCCAAAGAAATTTCAAAAAATTTCTTTCAATCTTGAGATTCTTAAGCTATGATTAAACACATCACTGACAAGACAAAAGCAAATGTGATGCATTACTATGCTATTTATAGAACTAATGTACAGGTCCTTACTCCGCAATTTCTTTAAATACTGGCATCACATCAAAATGATAGGTATAAGACAATATCTAGCAGTTTTTTGTCAGATAATAGTAATTTTGTACTGTATTTACAATAACATTGCGATGGCATTTATTACTACTTTTCAATAATCATCACAGGTCTTTTTACAGCCAAAATATTGTTTCAACAGTGGGAATCTCACCAGTGAGCGGATATCCATGACATCTGTAAAGACTTTAACATCTTATGATAAAACAAACTCAATGAGTGTGCCAAATGTATTAACATTATGCAATGAAATATTAACTGAAGGAAAATAAAACTGTATTGTCAACCTGTCATTATTTTAACTCAATAAAGGAGTAAACAGAAAAAAAATTCATACGGGTACACTACTGTGTCAATTTTTGGTCAAAAATTTACACATGGGCGGATGAGGATAAGTCTTCTTTGACCAGTTGAAACAAACGGCATTATTGACACATAACTTTATATCACATTCACTAATTTACAAATTTGCTGGCTCAAAAAAGCAAACACAAGACTTTTTCACTTGCAACTGCTGAATGCTTCCCTTCCCTTCCAAATCTACTGCTAGACAAATGCAAATAAAACTGCATGAAGTCCTGATAGAGATATGCATAATTTCCCACAAATACTTTTATCAGAAAGATCCTGTAAAAAGGAGGGGTTGGAATTGTACACAATAGCAAAACACTTAGTGTTAGAATTACTTGTGGCTGGCCTGTGTCCATTATTCAATGAAACAAGGCTGTATTATCGCTTCCTCCACTCCTCAATGCTTTGTTGTTCACATCATACCCTCTCTTAAGAAACCAATTGTTTCAAGGTTGCATAGGTAGGAACACGAATGAATACACTATGATAGCTGATTTTAAAGAAGGTAATCAGAAGTTACCAGGAAGCACCGCTGCTCAAGAATCAGGGGATGGAAACAAGTGAAAACTAGAAGTTTCTTTCACAGAGAAGGGAAAAGAAAAATCTATTGGTCTCTCAGGCTACAAGTCACAATGGAAGGCACTGTGATTCTGTCCCACATACTTTGTACTTTGCCTTTTAATTCCAGTTAGAAACCAATAATGAATCCTAACAAAGAGGGTAACTATAACAATCTAAGATTATCTTATAGTCAGACTTGACATTAAATAATTTATGATGATACTCTTACAAATATGTCTATCAGTCTAAAAATGTAGGATACAGGCAGTTAGGCTCTACCAAAGCTACAAAAAAGGTTATTTACATTTTTTACAAAAACAGTCCTGAAAGAAAGTCAATGCTGATAAAAAACAATAAGACAAGTTCTTTACAACAACAAAAAAGAATGATTCAATTAAAAGAGATTCAAATTCCTTTCCATTCATCAAAATCAAATACTCTGCACCAACTTAAGTACATTATTGAAAGGTTTGAAACAGCATCAAAGACATAATGATGATTAAAGGCCATCTGACTTAAATACTGGGTGAGTACCAAAGCTCAGACCATCATGCAAATAGCTGACAAAACTTAACGAAAATAAAGCTAAACATGAAAGAGAGAGAGAGAAAATGAAAAAAGACCAAGGTAAAAGCTCATTAAAGCAACCTAAAAGCAATAAATGGAGGATTCTCCTATCACAATGCATGCCACACAAGGTAACAAAATCCAAATAACCTAGTGAAGTCAAAGAGACTTATTCAGGAAGGTAAGAAATAAAAAGATTGACATATTCAGCAACTAGACCTGGACACCGTCAAAGCCAGAAACTATGGAAATGCTATATACATGGAGCACATGCCAATTTGTCCACTTTTGCCCTGCAAGTTAATGTCAATACATATTAAAAAATAAAATCTAACATGTACAATATCAAACCCCTAACAAATAAAATAAATTTTAGTTCATAAGATTCAGTGTCATCTTACCTAAAATTACAAATATTTCAAACTCTCAAAAGCCAGGGAAAGCTAGGACGTTCCAGGGCGGCAAGCACCTTCCTCTCCAAAAAGATTTATGCTTCACAATTTCATTTTATTCAAGCTTTAGCTAAAGGTAATAAAAATTTGACCAAGCCTTCAATAAATTTATATTTGGCTGCTGGAAGACAGGAAGTTGTCTTATGGAAATTAACATGTCAAAACAAATACTTATGTACTACCCACCAAAAAAAAACAAAAGAATAACATGAGTGGCAACTGTTGTAAACTTTTAACAGAAAACATTTCCATTTTCATCCTTTCATCCATCAAATAGGGATCTCTGACCCATTCTATTTCTAATTTTGAGCGGTAAATGGTACTTTAAGCTCTAAATATTGGCATTTGTGAAATGTACATTTTAAATGGAGGTTCTCTACAGCATTTTTGATTTAGAGAAAAAAAAAGGATAAAAAGGACAGATTTCAAGTCAGAGACAAACAGTTTGAAATCTCTTGGTAGAACTACAACAGGGACCAAGACTATTCTGAGGAAGTTCATCAAAACCAAAATAATAACAATTGTACAAATGGATTTGTACAAATAACAAATTATGTACCAAATATTCAATTCCAATTCATACAATGGTCAATTCACAACCATGTAGAAGAAAACCCCAAAAAGAACAAAAGCATAAGAGAGGCCAAAAGGCAGAAGCGGACTAACCAATCATTCTCTTAGGAGCAGGAATTAAAACAGGAAACCCAACATCAAAATCAAAATGTAAAATTCAAAAATGTAGCCAAAATAAGCAAATCAGCATTAACATTATTGCAAAGTTTACCCCTAACCATACCTGAGTTTAAAGAGCTTTCAACCATGACTCACAACAGTGCTCCATTTTGTGGTTCTTCGTTTAAAAAAAAAAAAAAAAAAACCAAGATCACTTTTGTAGACTAGATGTAATGGAATAATGATACACTGGTGAAACAGGAAGTATTTTACTAATAATGTTAAGATACAATTTGGATCTGACCATTGCCTTTCTTTCCTTCTTTAAGATAAATAAATCTCCCTTAAATAGAAAACAAAATATATGCATGTCATGTAATTTGAATGCACAAGTCAAAAAACTTAACAACAACAAAAGAAAGCCTGTTCACTGAAGTTTTAACAAGTGCAGTTACTTGAAGATTGAAACAATACTACAGGACAGGCTTAAGAGAAATTGGAGGAGAGTGACTCTCCAAACTTAGTCTGTCTCATTTCTTCAGGTTGCAGCACCAGGTTCCATAGTAATGGGAGTGCCATCAGTCTTAAATAGCAGCTTGAAGAATTGCATGGTTTCCTTTAAGCAGGAAACTTAAAGCAGATAGCCTAGCTGCTTGGCCCATATCTGATAATTCATTTAAAATACATTATGGGTTAGATTAAGGGGTTGGTTCCACTTAATTTATAAACAGGCAGATTTAGGAACTGGGTGGGACCTGACAGTAATGGTCCAACCCGGTTGTAATCAACCCACATTTCGGTGTCATTAGGTGTCACAGCACATTTTTTTGCCTTCACTTGAAATTGAATCCACTTCCCACCTGTTTCTGAGTACCATTGGGATCCGACTGTGAGACAATTTTGAACCAGGATAACAACTGCCTGACATGGTTCTTTCCAGTTCAGACTAGATGGGACCAGAGCACTACAACTGTGGCACAGTGAAGGATTTAGAAAGAACCAAGCCCCTACTTCAACCAATAACATATTTTTACACATCAATATATTTGTATATATTTATATTGTAAATGGAGCACTCTACTATTAATACTTATAAGTAAACTATACAATTAAAATAATAATTAAAAAAAAAACATACTCTGTAACATGTAACAGATCAAAACAAGGAAGATATATGAAGCAAAAAGCATTGCCTATGAAACTTATAACTTATCAACATCCACCAGGATAATTTTTGCTCAGCATCACGTGCTAGAACATCTCGCTGCTGTTTTTTTGTTCTTGTTTTTTTTTTGTTTTTTTATTTTGTCAAGATTAACAAAAGGAAATACTTATTAGCACTCAATGGTTTTGAAACTTTGGATTAAGCCTCCGCTATGACAGAACAGACACAGTTACAATGACTGATAGCAAAGTTGTAAACAGGAATTAAACAATTCATCTCCACAGTTTGATGGCTTAGGAGCTTGAATCAGGTATATGGCCACCCATGCTGTGAAACTCACAAATGCTCCGTAAGCCAATTACTTACTCAACTGGTGCTATGTGACTGATACTGAGCCATTGAATGCTGAGCCTGTGCAGCTTGGGCAGCCTGTGCAGCAGCTTGTTGCTGTTGGTGGATCTGATGTGCAGCGGCTTGTGCTTGCTGGGCTGCAGCTTGCTGCTGCTGCTGCTGCTGTTGCTGGGCTTGCTGGGCTGCCACCTGTTGTGCTTGTTGCTGTGCAGCTTGCTGGGCTGCTGCCTGCTGGGCTGCTTGCTGGGCTGCTGCTTGCTGAGCTGCTGCCTGCTGGGCTGCGGCCTGTTGGGCTTGTTGCTGTGCGGCCTGTTGGGCTTGTTGCTGAGCTGCCTGCTGGGCTTGTTGCTGTGCTGCCTGCTGGGCTGCAGCAGCTTGCTGCGCCTGCTGCTGTGCTTGCTGTGCCTGTGCTGCCTGCTGCTGAGCCTGCTGCTGGGCTGCAGCAGCTTGAGCTTGCTGTTGAGCTGTCTGCTGATGCTGCTGTTGTGAGTGCTGCGTTACCTAATGCCCAACATTGAGTCTTTCATTATGCCCTTTACATACACAAAAGCACAAGATTTTTTTGAAGAAAGAATACTTACACTAACTGAATATGGCAACACCATTATTTGAGGTTGAATGTTGGGAGACACAGGAGCGTCCATAGACTCATCGCCACTTGGATGATCTGCTTCATACTTTCCTCTCTTAAATCGCCCATAAAGAGATGAATATGGTAGGTTGTAGTGAATAGCTGCTTGATTAATGCTCATTTGACCCACCCTACGAAACAAAACAAAAAAAAAACATGATCAGGAAAAAAGAGGTAAAAAGTAGAATAAAATGAGGCCTAACAAGGAAAGGAACAAACATACCTAACAGATTCAAGAGCTTCCAACATGGCATCTTCAGACCAAGGAGTTGGTGTGCTTCTTGACAACTCAATACCTTCACGCTTGCATCTACCATATAGAGTGCCGGTTGGAATGCCAAACTCTGCAGCAGCCCGTTGGACAGACGTTTGTCCCGATCGGATTGATTCTAGAGCTCTTTCTAGGTCATCTGGGTTCCAAGTAGTGGGAGCAGCATTAAACGGGGCTGCTAATCTAATGCCCTCTCTTCTTGCTATTTTATAAAGTGTGCTGCTAGGTATACCTGACAGATACATATGGAATTCAAGTATGAGCTGCATAAATTTTAACTATTAATATTACTATTAATTATTTAATAATATTAACTATAAACAAACTGACACATACCATATGCCTTGCTTGCTTTGTTGGCAGAAATGGATCCACTTCGTAAAGCTTCAAGAGCATTATTTAAGTTATCTTCAGACCACGATTTGTTAGGCCCCTCTTTCTTTGGAGTATCAATGCCTAGGCGATGAGCTCTTTGCCAGAGTGTGGTTGAAGGAATGTTGAACATGGTAGCTGCCTTTGTTAAAGAAATATTCTGAGTACGAAGAGCATCTAGAGCAGCATCCATATCCTCCTGTGTCCATGTTTTCGGTCCCCCAGGACCCTTGGGTGTTTCTGGTGTAACATCTGCTGGGGAGGGGGCTGCAATGATTTTTTTAGGATAGAATGCAAGCAAACACTTTGATTAAGAAGTTCAAAGAATGTGGTAGATTCAAATACCTGTTGAATCAGTTGAATGTCCAGAGGACGATGGTATCAACCCAAGGAGTTCTGGAGTAATCATCATAGTGTGCATGGTGTGATCCTCATCACCCATATTTTGAGGCTGCTTTAACAAATGAAAGTTTTAAATTGGTAGTTACTTGTTACACAGCTTTTAGAAGCAAGTAGTTATCAGAAGAGAGGCTTTTCTTATTAATGAGATGTACTCACTCTGTCAGTCATGTGACTGTCCATGTTTAAAGTATCCCCTTGTTCCATAGCACGTAAAGTTTCAAACTTCACCTTCACATTTTCATCTTCCGTTGTGTGAGTTATTCCAGACGTATCCACTACAAATAAAAATAAATCACAATTTTTTGAAAATAAAAAGCTGTGACAAGGGCTTTGAGAAAAGAGTTGCTTTATTGTTGAATGCATACCTGCCATGTCTCGGCTTCTGGGTATAGACTCCTCATGAATAGCCATAAGGGGTACAGGGGTTGCTGAGGGGGCAGGTGGTGTGACTTCTGGAGGCATTTCAACATCACTTGCACTGTTGCTGTGGGCAGAGTGTGCTGAGTGACCGGAATGAACAGAATGTGAATTGTGCTGCTCCATTTGCTGCGGTTGTGGAGGTGGAAGGCTTAAGCCATGAGGTAGGTGACCTTGGTGAGATAACAGGACTGGAGACACCTGAATCAAAGAAAAAAGAGTGAACATAAGCAACACATTACTATTGTTATTATTTTAAAAATGAGTTTTATTTACTCACTGCAGTAGTAAGTTGATGATGTTGGAGGTGGGGATGCATTTGTGGTTGACCAGCATGTCCATGGGAGTGAGGCCGGCTTTCTAAAATGACAACAGGAATATCACCAGCAGAAAGGTGCCCACCACTGCTGTGCTCTTCATCAGTTGAGGTGGCAACAGTCATTCCAACATTGACAGCCATGCCATTTGCAACCTGCAACATAAAAAGTTTCATCAAAACATGACAAAAAAAATCTTGAATCATGAAAAGATCTAGGAATAGAAAGTGACCTGTATGTGTCGCATTGGCTCAGCTATGCCAGCCCCTTGCTGGAGGTGTGTTTGATGCTGCATTTGATGCTGCTGATGCTGTGCATGCTGCATTTGCTGTTGCTGTTGAAGTACTTGTTGTTGCTGTTGATGCTGTTGCTGGTGGTGCTGTTGTTGATGTTGTTGAGGAGACTGTTGGGGCTGTTCTTGCTTCACAGTAGCAGCACCTCGGAATAAAGGTGGACGCCCTCTATGAGGCTCAAATCTCCGTCCTTTGTTGCCAGCAAAGCGTCGAAACTTAGTGATGTTTCGTCTTCTGACATTAGGTGGAAGTGGTGTTACTTCTGCAGACGAAATTCCAACTCCTCCCTCCCTACCTTCAGGAAGTTCGCACAGACCTTTTATCTTTAACTGGTCTGCTGTCTTGAGAAGACTCTACAACAAAGAGATCCAAAATAAACAAAAATAAAATTTTTGATTAAAATTTAAAATGATAATCATAAGACTGGTTATGAGATCATGTAAACAAAAATAAATTTGTGAGACAGTTCAAAAACAATTACCTGAAGCTCAGCCTGAGAAACATCTATCTCTCCTCGATAAACAAATTCAATGATGAACTTAAGGTCATTAAAGCAGACATCGGGAGGCATGATGATTGTTGGGTGTTTGCAAGGATTTTCTAGGAGCAGCTTTTGGAAATATGAGGAACATGCCGATAACACCACCTACAGTCAAAAAAGTGAGAATTTAAAACAATTCCTAAGAAAATATCTATAAATGAAAGTGTCAGCACTAAACCGTTTGATTTCAGCAAACCAATTTTGATATTAAGTCCTCACCTTGTGTGCCTTAAGCGATGCTTCATTGCATGAAAGTGTCACATCAACAAAGGCCTCTGTTTGGAGCAACTGATGAAATACTGATGTCATGTTAGATTGATAATTATTCCACCGCAAGCAATAGTGTTGCCCAGCCATGGCTGCAGTGATATCAACTGCTGGCCCTACAAAAAGAGATTGTACGAACCATAACTAAATCAGAGCCACAGCAAACAAAATTTTAAAACTTAACAGAACTTAAGAAAAGCTGCCCACATTATCATAACCGATAGTTTAAATAAGAGTGAGTGTTAAATTAAAATGATATCTTACAGAAACCAAGGGACATCACTTAGTAAAAATGACAAAATCACTGGCTTGAGTTACATGATGACATTGATATAACTTCAATAGAAAACAAAATCAAATTTTGAGATAATTTTTAATTTTTTTGATTATGAGAACCAGAAAAGTGGGCAACCTACATTAAGCAAAAGCAAGCAATTAAACAGAATTATTTTGACAGTTGATGCTCATTTAATGAATGAATAGGTTAGAGAAGGGGCTTACCGCACATATCGTTCTGTATAGGCTTCCAATTAGGTATCGCCGCAACAAGTTTCAGAGGGCTGTCAAACGAAACAACTACTATTGGTCATTGATTGCATTTGGGCGGATTTACAGAACAATGTGGAGACTACGAAATATCGGCATTCTGAGTCAAGCTGAGCCGTCCACAGATATATGCGACAGATAAATGAGCCGAAGGGGACTTAGACTTTAGGCAGGCAGTTGAAAGAGATGTGCGCGGGTATTTAATCCAGGATAATAGCTTCGCTAGTGAAATTTGTGTCATTAATGTTGACCAACTCCGACCTAACCCACCAATCCATAGGGCAGTCGTTAAATGCAGGCGGCGACCGCAAGCGCCGGGCCAGTGCTTTAATATTCACTACGATTATGGCACGTTCACCAAACATGGTGATCCTGGTCCTCCAGTAACTTGTCGAAATAAAACAGAAATCCGAGACTGCATATCGTCTTTTGGATCGAAAGATTCGCTGTCCAATCTTCCCCAAATAAGCGCGGTCTTGGTGCTGATTGCCAAGTCCGTTCTTCTGCTAAGTATATTTAGAAGCCCACAACTAAGTTTGCCCGCTTCACTCAACCTAGACCACCAAAATTACTTACCAACTCCAATAAACTATTCAGCGGCTCAAAAATCTCACAGCAGAAAGCTCAGTAAACACTTTTAGCGATTTTGTTGTGAACCTAATTCTTCCTCCTAGTCGGCTATCTCTCTTTCGACTTTTCACCGTTCTTCTTGTTCTTGTCCCTTTTCTCGTCTAGTTCCTCGAAAAGGTGGTTCGCTTCGGAAAGAGGCGAGTGGCTCGAAACCCGACAAATGCTTTACCGCAGCCCCAACAAACATGGCGCCAGACAGATTTTCTGCTGTCCATATTAGTGATCGGAAGGGAACGAGTTCCTTGAATGCACGGAAATGTTGTAGCGAGATTTACACAGCAAATCGTCGTCGAAACGGATCATTGAACTGAACGTGATCACGCCTACTGTCAGCTTGCTACTGCCTCTTCGACAGCCGCCCCCTCCCTCCCTCTCCCCCACCCCTCTATTCATCTCTACATATTCCCATTTCATTCATCATTTTCCATTTTTCCCTCTTTCCTCATGAGGGTGAACCTCGTCATCTCATTACGTCAGTCCGCGTATTCTGGCGTGCTCTTCTCTTTACTGCCGGTGTTGTCGCCTGTTCTCCACTCTTTGTTTGCCATTCGCATCTACACAAGCAGACGAAAACGCGAAACGGGCTAAACAACAGCAAAACAGACGCTTAGACACACGTAGCACCTTTGCGGGATGACGTCCATCCCGGCCCATTCACGAAAAGCTTATTTAACGATTGCCTGATAAAAGTTATCATGTCCATCACACTTACAAATTTCGGCTTTCGTTGAAATAAGCAACTAGTGTCAATATAACAATGTTAAAAAAAAATGTTAAGGCTGGTAAAGGCTACACGCACGGCATGAGTGTGAGAGACATCTGACGAGCAAGGCTTTTAACTTAAACAAAAAACAGCTCCGATGTCTAGGAAAGTTTTTTGAACTTGCCGCTACCCGCGGGTTCCGTTGTTGGTTGCCTTCTGGTTGCCTTCAGGTTTTACATGTACCAATACACATTGAGGTGCGTTGCGTCGTTCCATTGTTTGTGTAAATTGGGGCTGTCTTGGCTGAATGTTTTCGTCATTCGTGTTGCATGTGAAAATTTCTATGTTGTTGGATAGCAATTTTTATGCTGCTCTAAGATTTAAGCAGGTATGTAGGCGTCAAACGTTTGACTCTGAATGACACGGTCTGCAGCTGACCGTATAATTGTGCTGAATTGCCCGGTGTTCCGTGAAACAAGTCCCAATGCAGGAACCTGGAAGTTCTTTCTATTCAGTACGCAATTTTCAATTAAATATCTTGCCGCAATTTTTTAAACAGTGGATAGAAATCGATTATTCCTGACGTCTTTACTTCATACCTAAGCTGGAGCCTTGTCATTGTTACCACTGGTACTTGGAACATGTAGCGCCAATTCGTGCCAAATGGGATGCCTAGGTTCTTTTCATTTTTTTCTGCTAGCCTGGTATTTTCGTACCATATTTAGGTCCTGTTTGTAATTTCACTTTCACCATTTCCCCTTTCGTTTGTGATCGAGAAGTGGAACATCCTCGTTTCAACTCTAGTGCCCCTTGAATTTCCAATGTGATGATTCTGCCTATGTTGTAAACGTTCTTACAGATCTGAACAATTGTTATATGGACGTAATTATTTATTTGACTTTTCTCACACACTCGGGAGGTAGATTTCATTCCCCTAGGGTTTTTGGTGTATTGCTGGAGTTGTTGAACATAACCTTATTTCTGACAGTGAACACATCCTCATTGCCTGTTTGTAAACAACCCTTTACTTTTCCTATACCACCATTTTATGCCTCATTTTTGACACCAATTTAGAGTATAATTACATTGTAGACGTCATGAAGCTAATTTAACATTCCATCCAACTTTCATCTCCTGTCATGTAATATCTGCCTCGCTGTGTAATTTGGTTGGCCATGCAAGCCAAGGGATGTAAACAAACCTGATCTTTACATTCTTGTGTTTTTCAGATGTGATAATGGCTGACCAACAGTTCTGCTTGCGATGGAATAATCATCAGAACACATTAATATCTGTGTTTGATACTCTACTTGAAGGAGAAATTTTAGTTGACTGCACTCTGGCTGCAGAAGGAAAATTTTTGAGGGCGCACAAAGTGGTTTTATCAGCTTGCAGCCCATTTTTTAGTGTATGTAACATAAACTCCTCTGTTATATACCTCTAATAGTGTTGATAGTAAACGTCAATTAAATTATATTTTTCTTTCTTTCAGGACTTGCTTCGGCAGCATTATGAGCAGCATCCCATACTTATCATGAAGGATGTCAAGTTTGAGCAGTTGAAGGCAATGTTAGATTACATGTACCGTGGGGAAGTAAAAATTTCTCAAGATCAGCTTGGAACTTTTCTCAAAGCAGCAGAATCTTTGCAGATCAAGGGTCTTTCTGATAGCACCTCAAATTGCGAGTCTCAACCGAAACAGAAAACAACTGGCGAGAGCAACACACTGCGCACTTTATCAAAAGCAGATGGTGATCTTACTTCATCTGTGAGCCGGAGCCCAACTAATCGTCGGAAAAAACGTCGACATCCTTCTGGGAGCTGTGATGATGTAGTGTCAGAAGAAAACTCAAATGACCGACTATGTGAATCAAACACTCCACCTCCCACGAAATTATCAGTGGAAAGTAGAATGTCCAAAGTTCCTTCTCCTACTGTTCCTCAGGACAATGATTCTGGTGCCGTGAATGAAGCAACAAGGAATGTCCCCTTCCAAAGTCTTCCTGTTTCAACCTCTGTGATGTACAGTAAAGGTGGCCTTCCTCAGCAGCAACCATCTTCACTTATAGACACTTTAGTATTTGAGCCCAAATCTGAATTCATTGAGTTAGATGAAGACGAAGATATGAACCAAGATGATAGTGTTGCTGAAGCAGGACCTTCTCACAGCCAAGATGATAGTGGAGGTAAATATTTATTTTTGTAGTTTATATACAAATACATCATTTTCATCATTATTAAGACAATAATTGACATTTTATAATTTTATATTATTTGGAAGGTTACAATTGGCATGTGGATAGGCCCGAAGATTCATATTTATCTCAAGAATCACCAAGTGGACCAAGAAATGCACAGGGTGAGTGAGCATCAGTTGTGAGAAGTGTCAGTAATCTGGCAGTTAACCAAAATTTGGTCTTCCTTATGAGGAAACAGAGTCAGTGTTTTTAAAATGGGTGAAAACTGTAAACTATGCTCTTGATCTGTTCATGATTTGCTTTATCCTTTTTGTACTTCATTAGTTTTACAATTGTCCTATGAAAGGAGAAAGGAACTCTCAGTAGTTTTGGATGAACAGATGAAGAGCAGTTCTGTGGAATGATCTGTGTGGTACTTTGGGGTCCTTATCCTTCAAGCTTTTGCAGTTTTATAGCATGATATGCCAGCATGTGCTTTGTTTATTTTGTTGTAGCATGTTTTCTGCCCGTTTTTCTTACTTTGCTTTTCTTTTTATCTGATGTCTCCTGGTTTACCTCTGTCCCTCTCTCTCTCTCTTTCTCTCTCTGACAATGACAATCCATTCTGTGTAGGTGATTAAATTTATCATACTCATTTTCCGCAGTCTGACATTCAATCACAATCTCAATTGTACTTCTGAATTTTTTTTTTTTTAACCCTTTATATTTGTGATTTGAAATCGAAATTGCCTGAAAGCTTATTCAAAGAAGATTCAACTTCTTTACTTGAACTAACTGCGAAGCATCACCAAATCTTAAATTGATCTTAAAGTGCTGGAACGTTATTGGGTGATCATTTTTATCCTTTCACGACAAAAGTCAGAGGTTAGATCGCGTGAAGTCAAATTTAGAAGATAAAATTTCTTTGAAGACATTGCATTCGTCGTAATTGTTTGTAAGTATTGAAGGTGCTGTCGTCTGAGGTGTGCCATCATATTGTATTGTAGATAGATTCAAACATAATCTAAGTGACTTGTGATTGAAGTCAATAACGATTGAATAAACAATTTCTAATTGGCCTATAGTTGTTTCCCTGCAAGGGAAAAGATATTCTTTTATACGGAGTTGGAATGATAGTGTTCTTAATGGTTGAGTTTTGAACTTAGTTATAAATGAAGCCTCTGTATGAGTGTGGTTTTTGTTGCTCTTGTTGTGTTGATTTTTTTCTTCTTTTTTTATTTAATATATTGTTCCAATTGTGTCCAATTTTGCTTAAAATTCTATCTTTTAAACTGGAGAAAGAATACTGAACATATCTTCTGAACTTTCTTCAACCTTACATTACTGTAGTAGAAACCATTGTCAATAGCGCTACTGCTTTTCCCAGCTTTTCCCACTCCTTTGTAGTATTAGTAATGATTCTTATCTATTGTGCAAGAGTTGACAGTTACTGCACTGGAGTGGTTTTCTTGACCTTCCTCCCTTTATTCTTCCATTTTCCCCCCTGAGCAGTAGGAAATCCGTATTCAATCTCAGTATTAAGGTATTTTAAACTTGTTTCAAAGAAACTATTATGTCGTGTTCAGGACACATTTTAAATACAAATGCCCTTGTTTTATTTGTGACATAATGTAATTTCTCTCCAATCATTTGAAATGGAAAAGCATGCGAACATTTCATGTAGCTTAACTGCTAAGTTAGGGGTGGTGAATATTGTGTTCCAGATACCTGGTATCCTTCTCTCCCAACTCAACAAGAAGTAGCTCCGCCGCTGTATGGACCTTACAATTGTCCAAGATGTGCCCGAAAGTATGCAGTTCTTTATACATTAGAAAGACATTTACGTTATGAATGTGGTGTTGATAAACAATTTGCCTGTCCGGTTTGTCAAAGGCGATTTAGCAGAAGAGATGTCCTTAGAACTCATCAGAAAAACTCAAAACATTATTCTGAAAGTGAAGAATCAGGAAAGAATTTTATGGATATGATAGCGCTGTCGGCAGGACAACGTAAAGCATGAGTTCTTTCAGGCCTAATACTCCGTTTTGATTTCTTGAAAATTTCCAATGGAGGCACCCTCCATTTCTTTAACTGAACTGTAATCTTGAGTTACCATTTTTGTGAGACTTTAGTTATTGTTAAAATACTATAAGTGGTTGTCTTCTTCAGTTTCAGCCACATCAGTTGTTAAATTTATATCAACCTAGAACCAATTTCTTCTAAAGTATAATAGCTTTCATGTCAACTGGGAGTACTATGATTTGTGTAAATGCTTCTACCCCAATTGCCTCTGCAACATTATCTGAAAATGATTCAATTCAAAAAAGTGCCTTGCTTCTTGCCCAAACTTTTTGATGTGTGCTTAGACCAGCCAATTGTTCGTGCTTTTCGTTTCCATTGTCTGTTCATAATATCAAATGTTCTATGCCATGATGTGATTTTTCTTTTGAAATTTACCTGGTCACAAATATATTATTCATTTGTCAAAGGTTGAGTCAGTAAACAGTAAACTACTTCATTTACTCATCATTTATCAGAAGCAGGTTCCCAACAATTGTTTTTGCGTCACCTTTTTCAAGTCTTGGGCTTTATGTTGTTATTTTTTCATAAAGCACTTGAGACACTTAATTATATGTTCCATGCTGCATTTATTATTTTATTTTTATTTTATTTTTATTTATTTTTTTTGGGGGGGGGGTGGATTTACAATGTGCATGCCATTTCAAGGTCAAATTATGGGCGCTTTTCTGTTCTCCCGCACCCTTCTTCCACTCAAACAAAAGTTATTTCCCTCTGTATTTTGTTTCCGTTTTGCTTTACAATAGCTGCGTTCATAAAGGGCTAAAATCATCAATTGCGTTTTGTTCTTGGATTATGAATTGGACAAAGTTTCTTTCACTCCTTTCAGCGATGGTGGCTGCTGCGAGAGCAATGTTTCCGGGTGTGTGCTGTGAGAAGTGTGGACGCCGCTACAAGTATCGCAGTGGTCTGATGCGACATCTGCTTGAATGCAAAACACCTGCTGACATTCTTTACCCTAGTCATCATTTTACAAACAAATTCATTTAGATTGACTTTTTTTTTGTGTGTTTTATTACCTTTATTCAGAATTAACAGCTCTTATTTGTTTTGTCTCAAAGGACTTGTTCTTCCTCAAAAACTGAATAGGCTGTATGTTTAATGAGCTGAGAAGACTTTTTTTGTAATGAAATCTTGATTTTAAGAGTCTAAGCTGTGACTTACTATAATAACAAGGACTTTTAGAGGACTGGGCCTCTCTGTAGGACAACTAACTGCCATAAATTGTTGTACTGTGTTTCCTATAGATGTGAGTTCGTTTGTGTTTTGTTTTTTTTTGTACTGTTTATAGTTCATTGTTTTCTAATTTTGTTATGTCATATTTACTAGAGTTTATGGAAGTGATCTGACACTCCTCCTTCATAAATTCCTAATAAACTTATGTATTTTAATAATCTACCTGTATCTCAATCTTTCTCTTTGCCATTAACTCTAGACCATATTGTAATTGCAACCTGTAATTGAAGCATAATTTTTATGTGATAATTTGTTTTTATCTACTCCATATATGCCAGACAAAAGTAAGTAAATCTAACAGAATTAACAGTGCTGTATTAATGAACTTAACTGATTGGTGCGCATTCACTAATCTAATTTACACACACCTCATTTTGGAAAAGCATGATAATGTAACAGATTTTTAATTTATCTGTTCTTATCTTTCTGGTCGTCGTTTTTAATTTAATGGGTGGTTCCAGTTGCAAATTTCAAAACTGCTATTCTGAACAAGATAGATGAAGGTTCTTCTTTTAATGTTTTCCCTAAGTAAGTGGGCTAAGTAAATGTTAAAAACATGTTCAGATTACTTGATTCAGAGGGTGTATCTGAATATAATTAATAGTTTTCATTGGAATTTTGCAGTGTGAGCACTTACTCAAAACTTCACATGTAAAGTACCTGTATATTTCTTTTTCTTTTCCAGCAAACCCCAAATTGTTGGGATCAAGATTCACACCTCCCTGGCCAGATTTTCACGAGTGTCCGATTTGCGGTCGTCTCTACAAATATAGAAGTACTTTGTACCGGCACGTACGGTATGAGTGTGGAGGGGCTCGAATGAAGCTTGTGTGTCCTATATGTGGACGTCGCTTCTCGCGTCCGGACAACCTGCGCCAACATGCAATAACTCACACAAGTGCTCATGGGTTGAGCCCTAATTTTACTCATGCTGAAACGAGTTAATCGCAGCTCAACTCTTTTACATTGTATTATCCTTAATCCTCAAAAGATTTTAATTTACTATGTTAACTGCATCAATATGGCAGTACCTGAGGTAAAAGAAGTAGTTTTGACGATCTGCTCGATATTGTTGTTATTGTGATGATAAGTTTTAAACTTCATAACAGTTTCAGTAAGTTTTGTTGTTCTCTAATTTTGCACTAAATGCTGAAATTGAAGCATTAATGTAAGTAACAAATGTAGTGATTGATTACATTGAACTTATAAATAGTAAACTCAACTAACTAGTCAATTTGCATGTGGAATTCATTTTCATTCAAGTGATTAATTCCTTATTTTCTCACTGTATGGGGGGGCTCTCTTAGAAATTAAAAGTACACAGCTGATTAATTTAGTTTTAAGTCACCATTGAATCATTATTTTTATACTCTTTCTCTGTCTGTGATTGATTTTTGCTGAAGTACTTCAATTGAAAGTAACTTTTCTGTGTTATTGTGCCCTTGTGTTACATGGTTGCTTTTAATAAGTTCACTTTATAATCTAGTCTCTTATGTAGTCATTGTACTTTTTATTCTTCTGGTGAGACAAGTCCATATTTCTATGTAGTCTGTGAGACAGTAGCATTCCAAGATCCTGATACCATATGTTATATTTTCTGCAACAGTCCATTACTAATTGTACATGTAATTGTTATGAATTATCTTATCTTGTTTCAATGGAGTAGAACATTCCAGACCAGTTTTCTCTCTATTTTGCTTTTGTTTGCACTGAACTCAAAAGAATAACCAACATTGTTTTCAGTTACTTATCAGCAATCTTGTCTTTGGTTTGAAAAACGAGAGAAACTGTTAGCTCTGTAAATGTATCACTTTACAAATATCTTAATTTAATTGAAAGTGTCACTCTTAACCTTTTATTTTAACAGAATTCAGCTTGCTATTTGGGTGGGTTTTAATGGCCTCTCCTGAAAAAATAAATCATAAATTTAATTATGCATAATCATCTTGTTTGTCAATCATACCTACAAAGTTTGTTCTTTTGTAATTTATACTTTTTTTGATATTTAAAGTGGTTTATTCAACAGCTGTAAGTCGTATTTAAATTTCCTTATGACTCCTAAAGCCTTTTAAATATTACAAAAACCTCTGTTTTGTAGCTGGTATGTGGGTATTGCCTTCAGCTCCTTTTCTCTAACTCCTTCCTTACTATGTGCTGCAGGTGATGGGGAAATTTCGGCTTCATGTGGTATGGAAGTAAGCTGGCCAACTGATCCATCTCAAATGCATGGGAATCCTATCCAAAGTTTAGCTTTTGTTGACGTGAACAAAAGCACATCAACCAATTACTTGTCCATGCAGGATTGCTCAGGGCTTCCTTGGACAACGAATGAGCCTTCACACAACTGTCCAAGATGTGGCAAGAGTTACCAGCACAAAGGATCGCTTTCAAGACATTTGAGAGTTGAATGTGGAAATCGTAGATCAGAAACTTGTTCTGTTTGTTTGAAGTCATTTTTGTACAAGCATCATTTGGAAAGGCACATGAAATTTGTTCATAATATGTAATAAAGTTTGGCATAAGCAATACTCTGACTTAGTCCGTTTTGCCACTGTCTGATGACATACTGCAATTCAAGGTTTACATATAAGGGTTTTTCTATTCCTACTTCGTATACTGACCGAAAATCCCTTGTGTTTCAGGATGTTTTAGTATGTGGCAGGAAGATACAAGGATGAAGAATGTGTGTCCAAGATGCAACAAGAGCTACAAGAATCGAGGAACCCTTATACGTCACCTTCGATTTGAATGTGGAGTGGAAGCTCAATTTATTTGTCCTCTTTGTAACTTTGCTTGTAAACAAAGATACAATTTAACTTTGCATTTACGGCGTCAACATCCTGATGAATCTGTTAAAATCCCAAGCTGGGAATGCTAGGTCCTAGATTAGTGAAATAATTACATTTTTGATCGGCAGTACGCTTAAAAAAATTCCTGTTACCTTGATTTCGGAACTGCCACTACCGAAGCTGTTACTATTATGATCATTGTGTCATTTTGTATCTACTACAGTGTGCTCCTTATTAAATGCAAATATCTCTGATCTCTTATGTATATTTTTATTAGTTCAAGTCTTTTAAAACAAAACTAATTTTGTGTGATATTAACTTCCCTATTCTTAAATCAGCAAATCTTCTAACTTTGAGGGTTGTTTCCACAGACTTTGGGAGTGCTTGGGACGGAGCCATCGCAATTGTGAAACATCAGTGCCCTCACTGCCTTCGTACATACAGCCGAAGCGACTCCCTATCCCGACACATCAAGTATGAATGTGGAAAGCTGCCTCAGTTTAAGTGTCCCTTCTGCCCTCTTCGCTGCAAGCAAAAGTATAATCTCACTCTGCATATCAACAGAGTTCACTCTAATGTTGGTGACAGTAATGGAAGTCAGGTTTCAAATTGACTGAATATTGTTAGTTTTAAATTTCAATTTGCTTACTAGTTGCTGTTAGAATGTTTTTATTTTTGTATAAGTCTTAAAAATAAAATTAGAACTCTTCAAAACAACTTGTGTTTCTTTTTTTTTTTTCTGTTTGACCTTTCACAGTTATTTTACCTCTGCCCTATCATAAGTGGTCTTGTGCAAGGTTGAACTAAAATTTTGGATATGTTTTTATAGGTTGGGCCCAGAATGAGCTACATCAATGTCAATGTGGAAGAACTTACTCAAGGAGGGATTCATTAAGTCGGCATCAAAAGTATGAGTGTGGAGTGACTGCCCAGTTTGAATGTCCCATTTGCTTTGTTAAAATGAAGCAAAAATTTAACATGCGGCGCCACATTAAAACTGCTCATAAAAGCTGAATCTGTCTTTGTATTTTACTGTTTTATAGATGAGTCACGGCTCCAAATAAATTCTTTGAATTATGTTTGCTTTGTATTGTTCTTCAAAGTTTATCTTACTGTTTCCTTTTGTCCTTTTTTCATGCTGGGATCAATTTTCCTCTGTGACTGTTTTGTCCTTTTTTTAAAAAAAAGAGAGTTACTGTTATTATTGGCTCTAATACTTTGTTTCTTTTTGAACAGGGATGCAAGGAATGAGGGACTGGCTGAGTAATAGGAATTCAATGGAAATTCCAGCAGCTCTCCAGAGATGGGCCTGGTCCTCACTACAAACCCAACAACCCATGTCTCAAATGGGATTTCAGCGAACTGGTTGGAGTGGGAGAAGAGGAGAAAGCCGCAATCCAAGGAAGGATCATTTTCGTTGCCCTCAGTGTGGGAAAGTCTACACATGGAAATGCAGCTTGAGTCTTCATCTTCGTCAAGAATGTGGGAAAGAACCACAGTTTCAATGCCCTCACTGTCCTCACCGCACTAAACAGAAAGGAAATTTAGAGAAGCATATTTTTAGCAAACATTCTGACATAGCAATGATGCCTGCAACATCATTTGCTCTTCCAGAAATGTCTGAAATGCAGTTGCCGACCCATATTTTTAGTAAGCACAGTGATGTAGCCATGATGCCTGTCACTTCATCTGCTCTCCCTGAGATGTCTGACATGCAGATGCCACATCATCCCCCTTCAGGCTGTTGATTAGAAACTCTGCAGCATGTTTAAGGTTTTGTTAAAAATTATTTGAGAGAGCAAAATGTATTAGCTGTTCTTAACTGGCATCTGCTTACGTATTGTGTAATCTTGCAAAGCTATAATAAAGGGGGGCGGACAGGGAGTGCAGTTATTTTAGAATTTCTCCATTGCGTCTTTTTTCTCTGGGAGTACAATGTACTTTGTTTTGTAAGGTTACTGAGTAACAGTAAGGTGGTTGCTCTATTTAAAGATGTGTGCCTGATAATGTAAATGGCACATTATTAATGTAGTCAATAACCATTTGACAGGTTTCACCCCCCTTTAAGGAAGTACAGGTTAAAAATCTTCCATAGCAAAACTCTTTATATTTCTTGGAGCTTGTTGATTGTATTATTCTTGTGCTAGGAAGCAATGTATCTTTCAACTCATGTTCTTAATCTGAGCTTTTTGTAATCCTCTTTGTACCAAATACTCTATAGTCATTCCACGGTTTGCCACTTCACTTTACAGGAAGTTGAGTTTTTCAATTGGTAACATGCTGTCATTACCAAAGTTAAAGAAAAATTTTAAAAAAGGAGAACCCGGGACCAGTTAATTGATATCAGCCTGTGTTTTTTAAAATGGTTTCCCTTTCCGGTTCTTTAAAACTTGCTTGTAGTTGTATTTTCATGAATTTTGCTGCACACAATTTTAACTAAACTGGAATTTCAGTTTTTAATTTTAATCTCTTGGCTGGTGTACAAAAGATACAAATGCTTTGATTTGTGATGGCCTTTCAGTATTAAACAATTGCCAAAAAATAATTATGTTGTGTCTTTATTAAGGTTCTGTGGAAAGTTGATTTCTTTTTACTCTATTGCTGTTGCTTTATACGATCATTGTAAAACTAAGATAAGGCAATGGGATTTCTTTATGTACTAGAAAAAGAGGGTTTATGGTGAGTGTGTTTTATCTTTTAGTCTGTGTGTATTATGTTTTGACATATGTGTTGCCTTTTTATTCAGATTGATGTTCTTAGATTTCAACTTCCTGAACTTAATCATTTATATTCTAGTTAAGAATTTTAATTTCTTTTGTATGAAATAATAATAAACAACTTTATGTTGCAACTCTTTTTTTTCTTTTCTCTGTGTTCTCATGTGCTCTAACTCTGGTGTTCATTGTTTTCTTGTTGGTTGCATGTTTCCCTTTACTCTCTATCTCCTTGACTACAATGTCTGGATCATCTTTTGTTGGGCTGGAGTCAGTTGTTATGCTCTAATTTGGTTAATGCATAAGTATCTCAGTGTTTCCCTCCGGACAGTCTGGTCATTGCATCCTGTGGACTTGGCATGCACACAACTTCTGATGTCTGATTGCAGGATTTATTAACGTCTCTGTCAGGCTGCTAATTCCTCTTTATTTGTGTTTACAGGGACGTCAGTTCGTGAAGCAAGGTTCAAGCTTGCACATGCTTTAAGAGGTTTGAGTGACACATTGAAAAATACGGAAAATTTTCCTGATGCATCATCGCCCGTGATGGTCAATTTGGCGGACAACATCGGCAAGGCTGTTAACAAGTTAAACTATTCATCAGTTAATCCCTTCCACTCAACTAGAACTAGCCATGCTCTCCCACTAAGTTTGTTGAACAGCAAAATTAGGAAAAAAGGGCTGAGGCCAAAATGCTCCAAACCTCTCAAGAAACTATGTGAGAAAAATGGTGTTGTACCCGAAGTGAAGGCAGATGTATCAATCCATTCAAACTTAGATCTTACAGAAAAAAACAAGATATGGCTCATCCCCAAAATTGAACTAACTGATATTGTCAAAAGTAAAGTCATAAAAACTGAGGGTAACTGAATTATCTGTAATTTGTGTCTTCTGTTGACAACAAAATTAATAAACTTTGATATTGTTCAGTACTTTAGCACCTTTTCATTCATTTCAATAAACTTGTTAAGACACATTTTCTAATCTTCACAATTTCCACTACAAGGTATGCCAAATGCTTCTTTGTTTTCCTGTTTATAGAAACTTGAATTATTTGTGAATAAATTTTATCCTAGGACATGCTTACGATAAGGATGCATCTAAATTGCTATGCCGTGCTCTCATGTCCCCAATCGATTGGAACTGACGACACACCTGACATGCACGTTGTTCTAGGTGGCCTGGTGGTGGGTCTGCCGAGTACCTGGGACGTGGAAGGCGGCCAGCACCGTCGCCAGCACGGCAGCATGGCTCCAAGCGGCCATCGCGGGGTCCTTGCCCTGGCGCACGGTGGGGCCTCAGAGCCGAGGTCCGCCAAGCGCGGCCTGTTCGCCTGCCCGCAGTGCGGCCGTCAGTACCGCTGGAAGGGCAGCTTGTCGCAGCACCTGAAGCTCGAGTGCGGCAAGGAGCCCCGACTGCAGTGCCCCTGCTGCGTGTACCGCACCAAGCACAAGAGCGACATGCGGCGCCATCTGCGTTTGATGCACCCGCAGCTCGCCTGCAGCGTGTGACGGTGTGCCGTGACCGAGTTAGGGTAACGCACCCTCTGTGAGCCTGCCGGCCTACCGGCCCACGCTTGGCTCTGGGCCTTCCCTGCAGGTTCTTCCGGTTCCCCCGGCCTCCTAGTTCTAACGCGTGCCGCCGTCTCTCCCGCAGGCCGAGACAGGGACCGCAAGGGGCCCGGAGCGTTCCAGTGCCCGCAGTGCGACAAGGTGTACCGTTGGAAAGGCAGCCTGTCGCAGCACATGCGCCTCGAGTGCGGCATGGACCCGCAGTTCGCGTGTCCTGCCTCGCCCGCCTGCCACTACCGGTCGAAGCAGCGCAGTGGCGTCAACCGCCACGTCCGGATGATGCACCCCGAGCTTATGCAGTGACGCGCGGCAGCGCCCGGCCGCGCAGCCCCGCGCAGCGCCCTGTACGTGCATGACGCTCATGACGCGCCCTGGACGGCCGGCGCTGCGCTCGCGCTGCGGCCCTGACACGGGCTGGGCGTACGTGTTCTTACATCTCTCGTTTCCTTCCCCAGGGTCGTGGAACGTCGACGGCGCCATGGCCCCGCCGTTGCCGCGGGCCCTGCAGGCCGCGGACCGCTTCGGAGGCGAGCGCCCCTTCGAGTGCACGCAGTGCGGCCGGCGGTACCGTTGGAAGGGCAGCCTGTCGCAGCACCTCAAGTTTGAGTGCGGCAAGGAGCCGCAGCTGCAGTGCCCGTACTGCACGTACCGGGGCCGCCACCGCAGCCACCTCAAGAGGCACATCACCTTCATGCATGCAGGGAATCCCGTCTCGTTTTGACCAAAGTACTTTCTACCTCGCCCCCGCCCCGCCCCGAGTAATTCCCTGAAATGACATGGTGCCCCCCCCCCTCGTCCCCCAAACCTCCTCGACTAAGTTAGTTAGATAGGTTCAATTTGAGGAATCTTGTGTTGTGAATAAAGCGATGCTCCAATTGAATGTCTTTCGTGTGTCTGCGACTATACGACTCGCACCCCTTTCCCTGCTCGTCGCAGGTAAGTGTCTGGAGTGTCATTCACCCTTTTTGCTGTTCGGCCACTCCGCTTGTTGTCTTTGCCTGTGCTTAACTCTATTCGGCCTTTGCAGCTTCCTACTGGGTGCCTTACACGCCGCACACCGACCGTGCGGACCAGGGCGGGGACCACGGCGCGGACGCAGACCAAGGAGTGCCATATGCCGCCAACGCTGCCATGCCGGCCATGGCCACGGGGACTGCTCCGGGGTCCCTCGCCGCCTTCCACGGGCCTCTGCGCTTGAGAGGGATGCGGGGTGCTGGGAGCTTCCCTTGCCAGCAGTGCGGCAAGACGTATCGGTGGAAGGGCAACCTGTCGCAGCACTTGCGTTACGAGTGCGGCATGCCACCGCAGTTCAAGTGCCCTTACTGCCCGTACCGTAGCAAGCACCGCAGCGACCTGAAGAACAAGCACATGAAGACCAAACACCCGAACCTGCCTCTCATTCTGCCAACTGTGGCGCCCGCCACCTCCAGTTTTTGCTAATAATTTACAGTAAGTATATCAGCACCATCTGCCAGCGATGGATGGGATACCTTTTCGCCTCCGGTTCCAGTGTTGCGCTCAATTTCTCCAGCTGGGCAGTACTCGCTGTGACCAATACATGTAGCGTCCTCGCCAAAGTGGCAATTCGACCACTCTTTGCTTTAGTGTGACTAGTTAAATGACTGTTGGCTGTTGGATTTCCCTACCACCTTCCAAGACTTCGTCCACAAAATCACTAAGTGTTCCATGACTGGATCTTACGCGGTACCAGCATGATTAGAAATAGATCATACTTTTCTGTCACATTGGCTCGTGTGTAATGTTGCCGTTTTCTGTGCAGGAGGCTTATGGACTTCAGACCAGCTCCAAGCAGATCCTATGGGAGGCCAAGGAGGCCCCACAGCCATGGGGGTGTTCCCGTGCCCCAACTGTGACCGCGTCTTCCAGTGGAAGGGCAGCCTGAACAGCCACATAAGACTGGAGTGCGGGAAAGAACCAAGCTGCTTTTGCCCTTTCTGCCCGCACCGTACGAAGCTCAGGGGAAATCTTAGAAAGCATATACGGAGTCGGCATCGGGGTCAAATGACTGTGGCCAACATGGCAGACTTCTGAGTGTTTTGATGTCAGAAGCACTATAGCGAGAACATAAGTTGATTCTTTTTTCATTTTTTCACTCGATATCTCTTGGATAATAAATGACTCAAATTTGTCTGAAATTATTTTGAGTTTATTTTACTACTGGCTCATGTTTTAAAATAATCCTTGGAAATCCTTCCCTCATAGCCTTTTATCCCCAATTATCCTGGATTGTGAGATTCTAATATTAAAACCGCTACATTCTGTCTTCTATTATTTTTCAGGAGACACTGCAAAAGTTAACAGCAGCCTGCTGGTTCCTAGGTTGGATTTGGAGCTTCTAGTGGGAGAGTCTTCATCAACTAAAATTCAAGCCAATAGATTAGGGCGAGGAAAAAATGCCTCCCTCAATAGAGACATTTTAATTGACCTCGCCACCAATCAGTTCAAGTGTCGCCACTGCCAACGCCTGTACAGATATAGGCGCAATCTTCTGGCTCATCTACGTTGTCATCACAGTGATAAATAGGACTAGTTCTACTTTTCAACAACTATGAGCTTAAATACAAGCAATGCCTTTGAATACTCTTGTCATCAAACATGAGTGTTAGAACTTAAATAAATGGGCTATGATCATTTGTGTTGGCATGCGTTATAACAATGCTTTCAAATTATTTTTGATGTGATGTTTTTAAGAGCACTGACAAATAGTTACAGTAATTATGAAAGTAATATGTATTTTGTCACTTTTTTACCTCTTGATTGAAAGCCTTAAAAAATGAGCCATTTCTTAGCTGTTCAGAGCAAGATGATCTCACATTGGATTCTTCTCTTCTCAGGATCTCTCCATCTGAGCCAATGGACCTCAGCTCAGGTTTATCAAATGCAACAGTACATGAATCGAGGCCGGGGTCATGACCCCATGGCTCACGTAGCTCCTCCAGTTGTTCCTCAGCAATCAAAGTACATTTGTAATCAGTGTGGCAAGGAGTATCGGTGGAAGCAGAGCCTGGGATTGCATCAACGACTTGAGTGTGGCAAAGATCCACAGTTCCAGTGTCCACATTGTCCTCATCGTTCCAAGCAGAAGGGTAGTCTGGTGAAGCACATCAGTAACAAACACCCCAAGTCTTTTACATAGCATTCTTTTGTTCCTTGAACAAATCACTAAATTATAAAACAGATGAGGACTATGTAAGTCTCACTGCTTTTTTGTGTACCACTTCATTCCTATGTTTATTAGTGGTGTTTTAGCAACATGCATAAATCTTTTTTTTTATGTTAGAGAAGATATGATGAAAATGATATGCAGGTGACATGTTTCTTCATTGCCAACTTGATTGTAAATATCTTGTGGTTTGTAATAGTGTTGTCCATAGAGCTCTTGTTCAAATGCTCCTCTGATTAAACAATGTTCTCCAAACTAAGCGAACTATTCTTTTACCCGTTGTTTTTAGAAGTGCATGTACTTTCAAAAATTTTTGCGGGGGATTAACTTTAGTTTGCTAGAAATGAAAAAGTGCCATGCTACATACTCTTTTCATTTTATGATAACTCATAGTTCATACCACATCTTTCTTACATGTATGCATTTTGTTTCAGATGCAGTGAGCAGAAATGATGACACTAAGATTTCTGATGCTCATTCATCAAAACAGTCACCTCCATCCACTTGGGCAACCATCCGTTCCTTACTGGAGACTATTCCATATGTCACAGTGTCTGCGCAGCCAGCCACTTCCGCAGAGCCACCCTCTCCCTCACTCAGAACTGGGATGAAAACTTCCATATCAGCTCATCTGCGCTCATCATCTTGCCCCAAGTGTCAGAACACTCCTCCAACTTTACTTATCAATACTACTCTCATTTGCCACAACGGATCTGCACATTCAGATTGGCAGGTCATATCCAACCCCAATGATATACCATCTGTACTGCAGGCAAAAAAACTTGGGAAATGTGGTACGGAAAAAAACTGCTGGTCTCCGACTCAACATGTGTTCGATTTCAACAATATATCACCCAGATTGGCTCCAAGTGAACAGAATCATGTTGTAAGTAATAATTCCATGCATACCTTTAAAGATGAGCTTGTATCCGACATTATACCCTCTAAGAAAGGGCAAGCTACTCGGGGCCGAGGGGGAAGAGGAAGGAGAGGGCGAGGTGGTGGTGGTGGTCGTCAAAGAAGAGGAGCACACCAGGAGTCACAATTCAACGACGAATTCCTTCAGACTAGGTCATTTAGACCTCGTAAATCAACTTGTTATTTAGAGCTTCCAGATGACGATGATGATGATGATAATGACAACAAAGAGGCTGAAGGCATCAAAAGGCAAGCGTCAGAAGATTTTGACTGTTCCTCAATCAAGAAACATAGGAAGAAAAGAAATATTCACCAAAGGTTTCAGTCCAGTGTTAAGGACGAAACCCACGAGGATGGTGACACCTTGCATGGAAAGAACCCTCTACTCTTGAAACTAGCTAAGAAAACTGACTCAGGAGCCGAATGGAAAGTGGAAACAGTGACTTCCACTGAAGGAGTGGCAGCTGATTGTCTCAATGTTAAGGCGAGTCCCTCAAGGTCACCAAGCTCTACATGTAATGAGGAAAGAGTAAGTGCCTGCTCAGCTGACAATGCTTTCCTGACTGAAGAAAAGGAACTGCCTTATGTGGGCATGCCATCTGACTCAGATGTAACCAAGTCACCTACATCTAATATTGGTGAGACAAAAGAATCAATCGCAGACTTAGTGACATCCAAACTGCATAGTACCGTTACTACATCAGGACGCAGACCAAAGGGGCCATATTCCAACTTTCTGATGGCCAAAAAGCGACGGATACTCATGCGTCCCAAAAAAGGAGGGGCTCTTTTTATGAAGTCAATGAAAGAGTGCTCAGCTAAATTGAAGATGCAGCCAACAACATCAAGCAAAATACAGTCCCAGTCACCACGAGAAATTCCAGCCGTGGCACCTAAGGAAACTGCTACAGTAGCTCCAGCATCACCACCCTCACCATTACTGCCACCACCACCTCCACCACCCTCTCATATTGTGAAACCTGAATCCTCACCTCCTGTGATGCCTCCAGCTTTGTCGCCTGCTTCTGAAGACAACAAACCCACCCGTTCTGCCATATTCACTCTTGACAAGAAACGCGAAAAAGCTGGCCGCATCAAAGAGAGGAGGAAAACAGATGACTCCCTGATTTTATCAAGGGGGAAATTCAAATGTAACCTCTGTGATAGTTACTTCCAAACGCGCTTGGCAGCAAAGAAGCACTGGTTGAATTTCCATCATGTCCCTGGGGGCTCAACATCACCCTCACGAGACATATCAGAGCCTAATGCAAGTGAGGAAGTACCTGACATTCCAAGTCCTATTATGCCCCCAGTGAGACCTATGACCCCACCTTTACCTCCACTGCCTTCATTCCAGTCTTCGCCTCCAATTCCAGCTTTGCAGGCTATCACTAGTGCTCCTTATGCTGTGCCTACATCCATGCCTTCAATGTCATCATTCTCTTATACTCCACCATCACCACACTTACAAACAACAGCTGATAGTGTAAAGACAGATATCAACGCCACTCTTGTTGAGGTGGAAAACACCACTCTTGATTTACCAGTAAGGTTCCTGGATACTATTTAGAAGTGAAAGTGGCTAAGAAAATCTGTTTTCTCTCCTTTTTTGTTACGTATTCCATTTGAGAAATATTTGTAGGACTTGAAATTATTTATTGGCACTTTGCAATTTGTAATCAATTCTTTCACACATTTTAAAAAATTGACTTTCAATTTTGTTCTTTTTTAACAATTCTAATTTGCACGTTGTGTTGATATTGTATCAGTTTTCAAAAAATTAGTGCCAAAACTGCTGTTTTACACTTTGCCAAATTTTGTTCTGTGATATTTTTTTTATCATGTTGCTGCTTTATATTGATCTGTATTGTTATTTTTATTATTACCTTTCATTGATTGATGCATGTGTTAGTCACTAAAAGAGTCTCATCCACTGACTTGAGTCATGAGGGAGCACAACAATTGGATTCAATCTTTTTTGGCTAGCCATTTGAAAAGTCGAATGTTGTCTCAATTCTTAAAGTTGTGCCATTTACCAGTTCAAGAAAGAAATTTTTTTCCGCCCTTCATTTTGCGTGAATTATTTCACAAGTTTATTACTTCCTTTCAATTTTGCTGTTTGATGTATTAATCAGAGTATTAAAGCAATTTCGCTGATAGATTTTTTATAGACATATACTTGAATGTACAATGTACTCCTTTTTTAAAAAAAGTATAGATGTTCTTTTTGTAACTCTCCAAATATGTGCTCATTATCCATTCGAGTAGTTCCCCACTAGAGTATGAATGTTTTTCTTCTGATTTCAAATGTGCTATTTGTACTTCCAGGCAAAAAAAAAGTGATTTTTGTTGTACTCTGTGCTTAAAACATGCATATTATTGCTCAGTGTCATAGAAATTAAGTTTAGTACAATCATGGCTTTTTAAAATGATCTCTGCACGTTGTTCATTTTATGAGCAAGAAGTATTGTTTTTTTTTTCTAAATATAGTTCACCTTATTCAAATAATTTTATTTAGTCAGTGGACTATTTTTTTCAATCATCCAAAACACATGGAACGTTTCTTTTCTTGTTGCACAAGACTTGAAACCAATATTGTTTATAATGTGCTGTTGTTTTCTATAGGATGCATTGATTTTCTCATGTGTTTATGTTTAATGGTGTCTGTCTCAGACAAGTTTTATGATCTGTCAATGTTACTGTAGCAATAATCATCAATTATGATGAGAATCTCAATCACAGAATGATAGACAAAAATAGTGTCTTTACAAACTATAATCTATACTTGATCTACACTGCTGTAGATTCTTAGTTCCTTGC